GGCTTAGCGTGGACGGGGCCTTAGTTGATTAGCGTAAAGTTCGTACTAACTTCGCGCGGACTTCGCGTGCAAAAACAAAATGTTCATGAACAACCTTTGGTTTACAGACTCAATACCTGCCACTTCTTTATGTGTTTATTCTAGATCTTCACTGACGGAATAACCGCCTGTTAATCTCAAACAATTAATGTGAAAGTATTCAGTTCTGATAAATGCATGCCATGGGCTTTCTACATGTTGAAATTTTGGAGTTACAAGTCACGATTTTTCGAGGATTCCCGCCTTCTTTAGCTTGTTCCAGGCTCTCGGTCAGTGGGGACGGTCGAAAATCGGGCGGGCGACAAGCGACGAGAGGGGTCTCCCGAATCCCGCTTGGTGTTGATCCCGCTCGTCGCCCGCCCGCTTTTTCGATCGTCCCCACTAACCGAGAGCCTGGAACATGTTACGCCTTCTCTGTCTCACTATAATGGACGGAGCTTCACACCCAAACAGAAAAAAAAGAGTCAGTGATATAATCATAGGTTATTGAACTAGCGTTAGGTCCGTATGGGAGAAATATTGGTCGAGTTCTTTTTTCTTTATGGTTTACAGACGGAGCCGGTCGGCAATGCAATGAAAAAGTCAGTGAGGGGTTCGTCTTGGCTGTCAGTATTTTAAAATTCAGACCGCTAAGGGAACTGATCAGAAACTCCTTTTCATCACTATCGCGGACCAGTTCAGCGATATAAAAAATACCCTAAAACATTCAGTTTGCATTAATTTCACGTGGGATCTTTGGTTCAGCCGCACTTCGCACGCAACTTTCGCACTTTCGCCAATTGCCCAATTCAACCATTGCCGTATCTCGAGGAGAAAAAGAAGACCCTAGTATGAAGCCCTTTTTGGGTTTGAAACTTGCCATCTCGGGATATTTGGGGGTAAGAAAGTTTTAATTTGTGGTAACTTTTTTCAAACCGAATATTCTAGCAGTCATTTACATACACGTAAACTAAATGCAAATGCAAGCCGCCTTTAAGTTTTATGCTTAGAAAAAAAGGACCGTTGTTTTTTTTTGTTTTTGTTTTTTCATTCTCACAGTCTCTGCAACTGATATCCCTTAGTCTCTCCCGACCAGAGTCAAGTCAAGTCAAGTCAACTTTATTTCACAGCACTTCAACGAATAAACTGATCATGAATTTGAAAATTCCATGAACAAAGAAATTTAACTGTGTATCAACCTTGTACAACCGCTTCCTTCCCTCATAACTGATAGCATAGACCACGAAAGATTCAACTCATTGTTCCTTATCATTTTCCTTAGCCATTTGAGATCATTGTTTTCTAAACTATGTATATATTGTTTTATGTAAAGAACTACAGTTTCACTTCCGGAGAGAACAGAAAATCAAGATGTCAACTCCCTTGAAAAGAGGTATAAATAGACTTCTTTCCCAAAACCACAATTAAGCGTCCGCCTTTCTAACCAAAAGTGATAATATTAGCTTCGTCCATTGTTCATGTTTCTGATTCGGACGCTGTCTTCATGCCTGTATTATATCTTGGCTCTCAGTTGAGTAAATTGACAGTTCGATGATCAATATTTCTCGTGCCAAACTATTCTCATCGTATTTCGTCATTCCAAGATCAGGTATTATTCTCGTGAGTTAATATGTTTCTCAAACAACTCTTGCGTCCTTCGATGAGCGCAACAATGTCATAATTTCTCGTATTGAGAAAATATCAGTCACCGACATTGTTTTTTATTTACCGATCAGTGTGACTAAGGCCGTCATCAAGCCAAACAACTTTACGAAAGAGCAGTCTTCATTTTGCCCTCCAACCGTAGCAGCAATCGAGAATAAAGAAGCGAAGACAAGCTGTACCTTCTCTTCAAAGCCCACTCCGTGTCAAAAACACATTCGTTCTCAGCCGTGGTTTCTACAATGTCTTGATGAATTTGTCCATTGTGAATGTCGTCGCGGCTCAACGAACTCTCACTGATGTCGGATTCGTCATCGGCGAAACACTCTTCGTACGACGCGTCCATTTTCTCGAAGTGCTGTAATGAAATTGCTACCTCCTTCGCTCTCTTGAAGTTTTAACTGCTCCTCAGAGGTCCTCAAACGTCAGAGCGCCGGAATCGTTCAAGGTCTAGTTTCGTTTCGAGCTGTAAAACGCTTGAACTGCAAATGTTAATGTCGCACTCAGCGCCCACGGGGGTGTTTAAAAAGTCACGGGTTTTCCTGTGATCATTTGCCAGAAAATGCTAGACCGACGGAAGGGGCGGAATTGCAACAAGGTAATTAGGCTCATTTTATTGTCAAAATTGCGCCAAAATAAACCGCAAAGACAGAACTAAACTACAGAGAAGAAATCCGATGTTTCTGGCATAGTTCAGTAACTTATTGAGAACAGGTTGCGTTTAACATTTTTCTGCGTGCGTTTTTATTCTCAGCAACATAATTTTGCTTTAAACATCGAAGAGGGAAGCCCGGGGAGGGAAGCAAATAACTGGGGGTTTAGGGGGGGGGGGGGGGGAGAGATTGTGATCTCGTTTCACGCACAAATTTTGCAAAATTCACTCGTTTTACATACTTTTATATATTAGCTGCTTTTAACGACGTTTTCCCTCGTCACGTTCCGCACATGAGCCCTTTATTTTCCCCTTTGCCAATGGCTCATAAAAAGCGTAGAAAATTCGCAAGTTACGTACATGCCAGTATTTGTTTTCGATTCAATCCCCCATTAAGTGCAGGTTCTATGGCCATTATCGACAGAGTAAAGAAAATGAAAATTCTCACCATTTTACTGCGAGTGTGAAGCGTTATTATATAAGGCTGAGCTCGTTGACGAACATGCAAAAAATAAATACAAGAAATAAAGGAAACTGGTGTGCTATCGAAGGCAAGGCCCAGAAATAATCAAGTTTTAAGTGTACAGTTATATAAATATTTTATCGAAGACGGACTCAATTTTATACATCATTTCCATCTTCACAGTAAATGGTTTGAACCTCATTTTTCAGAACTACACTCACCCGGACGATCACACTATACGAACTATTTCCATCTTCCTTTGTTAAAAATTTCTATTTTGCATCATATCTATTTATTTATTTGTTAAATAAACGGAGTACTTCTCAGTGCTGTGGTTGATTTTAATGTTCTTAGGATAAGCTCGCCTAATTTATGGATTCAGTTGTACTTCTCGTTTCCACCAACGCTCGGCCGTCGGGACTGAATTTATAGGTACAGCAGTCTGACGAGCATTCCGTCTACTTTAAACTCCGCGTCCACAGGCCTGCGTCCGTCTAAACATACCTTAAAAAATTTACGGTAGTAAGTAGGACGGGTTAATTAGTGGCCACTTAGGCGCCATTTTGTGAACCCACAGTGCCTAGTACCAGTTCTTCTCAAACCTCTTTCAAGATGGCGGTCGACCCCTCGTCCGCCATCAATTGGAAAGACCATAGGAACGAGGTTGCTCTTTCTCGACAGAATTTTCTCCCAAAACTCGACCAGAGAACCGTCTGATCATGAGGACTCTAAGGGTCAATTTTTAACAGATATTCGACGGTGTTTTCGTCTAGTGGATGTCAAAACTCGTCGACTTAGACACGGCTGATGATGTAAACGGGTAAATTTTGACGAGTTTTCCGTCAAAAACCTGCCCCGTCCCATTTTCTTGTTATGTTTCTCATCCAAATAATGTGAATTGGGCCGATCTCTACGATGTTTAGTCTCTCTGGGCTTTTTTTCCCAACTGGTCAATAAAACACTATTCATTCACGACTTCCGGGACGACCTATATTTGGTTTAATTTTGGTATTTTGCAGTAGGAAGGGAAAACGGTCCTCGATCCTTTTCCTCTGAAAAAACACGCTCCAAAACGTTTCCGGGCAACAATATTGCAATTTCTATCATCATTGTTCTATTTTTCTTTTTTTTCTTTCTTTTTTTTATTTTTACTGCTCTGCCGAGAACTTGGCAGTTTTAAGATCCTTGCTCAGTTCACTCTAGGACCATCCGCATATGAGTGTCACTGTCAGCAGAGAGTGCAGAGCCTATGACTGTGGTGTCCATTTACTCAATTATGTAAACCGTCGCGGCGGCTAATGTTTTTCTTTTTCCTTCTTTTTATTCCCGATCCCGTCTGCCGAGTCGTATTGTTAACTACATTAAGTATCAATTATTTTCAGTGGAGTTTGGAAATTACTCTTGGGCCGCGCCAATCCGTCAAAAAGAAATTCGAAGCCCAGTGATGTACAAAGGAATTCAACACCTGCTCGAAGGCCCAACAGTGTCAACAGTTCCAACAGTGGCTTTGTTTTGAACGGCCGCATCCTGCCGCTTTTACTTTTGGCCCATGTCCTGCTCCACTCAAAATTAATTGCACTCGCACCCTTGTCTATGCTCTACAAGACCAGAAATAACCCAGCAATATGTAGATAAAGCCGAGTTTCACCCAGTTAATAATTATTATTCTTCCACACGCTCATCTGGACATGCTTTTAAAGTATTCCCATTGTTAAGCCTCCTATCTACAGGAGTAAAACAGATTGCCCAGTCATGTAGTATTGGCAGAATCGTTTGTGTCCTTCAAAGAAGCTATTTTTACGATTTATTACTTATGTTTGCGATTTATTAGATCTATTAGTATAGGTATTCATATGGTTTCGACTTCAGTTTGGAATTAATTTGCACGAGTGAGTTTTTGAAAAACTCACTAGTGAAAATTGATTCCAAATTGAACGAGAAAAACCGTATGATTACTTATTGATAATATAAACACGAAACAATTCGCGTAGAAGGATTTGCCGGAAGATCTTTCTTGAAACTTTTTTCGAAGTTTCCGCACAAAATTTTCGTCATCATTTTACGTGATATCATTGGCTGAGAAAATTTCCTACTGTTTCTCAGCCAATCATAATCCAGAATTACGACGTGTAATTTGCACTGGTGTTACACTTGAACTGCACTGCTCTCAGCCAATCAGAATCGGGTAAATTTTTCATGTATATTATTAGATCGATAAGTTTATTAGCTAGCGCAATCCTATATATTCAGCAATGAGTTTGGACTTACATAGTAAATAATGAATAACTAAATTTCAGAATCAATTTATCCTGATTTATCCCAATCCCGCCTAGCTTGATTAAAGTCTCAGTTCTCCACGTAATTATAACGTGTGATTTTCTGTTTTTCCTCACACATCCCGCCGTTAATTTTGAAACTATCCCGCATCCCGCCTGTCAAAATGAGCAAATCCCGCTCCAGCCGAAGTATTTTTATCTCGCATCCCTCCATTAAAATTTATTTCATGCCTCATCCCACGTGAAGCGGGATGAGAGTGAAAATGGTAGGACTGGTAACGGCCCGCCAAAACTTTGTTGGATCCTCGATTACTCCTAGACGACCTAGTCACATATATAATGCTGAAAAGAAGAAAAAAATAGAAACGATTTTGCCGGCAACGATGGGACAGCTGGCGATCTCATATCCAAGAATGTACATATCGTCATTCATGTGTCGTTTCGGTGTTTATAAGCTCATAGCCTGGGCCCAACTGAAAGATTGTCACGTGTTGTCTGTCTCTGCGGAGTAGGGACGAATAGAGAACAAATTTTCATGTTTGCTGGTGTTGGACTGTAAAGCGGCCAGTATTACCGCCCCGGACTTGCTAACCATCATTTACCTCAGAAAGGTAAGAACTGTACAACAACATACAAGTCGAATGACAATACTATTATGCTTGCCGGCTCAAATTTAAAACTCGAAATCAGACTTTCAGATGTGGCAGCTTCAGTGGGATTTCTATCATAGAAACCTGAGCCGAATGCCACATCGAAAAGGTCACTTTTTTCGTTTCAACTACCCAGTCGCGAGGAAATTTTTTATGCAACATCCTAAAGTTTTTTGAACTCGATAATACAACGTTAAAACATTTATTTCAAAATAACTGAACGTATTTAACTCTATTATATTTTGTTCCACCATGGATCGAAGTCATTTACATTGTAGAATGGAAGCTGTTCCTTCGATACCGCCAAGAATTCACAAGAATGCATTCAAATGACTATCAAGCAAACAAGACAAGATCGACACTAAACCAATTTTATATACGTTTACCTCTATCAGAATAATCTGCGATTAAGTTTTAACTCTATCGTGATCCAAAAGGAAATGAACAATACCATTTTCGACAGTTTTCAATACGCGTTTTAGAAAAATTGCGTTACTCGACACATGGTACTTTACATTTCCGGTTCGACTGCGCGAGACTTCCGTTTCTTGACGTCAGCGGCAAACTTTCGTAAACAATGCGTGAAGTGACGTGGCGGTATCATTTGCTATGGTGAGTTCAATGCAGGAAAGTTCATTAGCATAATATGTTAAAAAGTTAGCTCTTCGTAAACTGTGTTAGACTCACCAAACTTCGTTTTACTTTGCTGCACGTTTAACCGATGTTTTCCTCGGCTCTTTGGTAAACTTTGGCTTCGTCCCGTTGCGGGGAAGTCAAAGGATTCCGCCATGGAAGGGGGGACCTCTGAAGTGCAAAACATCCTGGTCTAAGCATCGTGAATTCGCTCTACAGCTTTGTCGTGCGTATAGTTTCTTCATCGGTAGATTTGCTGCGGTCAGCCTACAATATGGCACAGATTCCAGGCATTTTTAACGCAGCTCAATTCTTCGGTAAGTTTTTTTGCTTGAAGCTAAAAATCTTTAGGGCTTACTGTCGCGATGAAAACCTGTTTTAGACACCGGTTATAAAGTTCTACCAGCAAAAGCCGACTTTTCTGAAGTTACGGTTCACAGACTGAAATAGATATTGAAAGGTCGGGCGATTCTCTTTAACTGAGAATTTTCTTGGCGAATTTTATCAGCAGGTTATCTTATATTTAGAGAAAACTGCTTACAGTTTATTCTGTGTCGTTTGTGTACCGTTTACAGATATTTTACTTCCGGTTGGTTATTTTCTCGAAACTTGAAGAACAGAGAAAATTCAACGTGCTTGTTTAATGAAATAAATGGTGAATAGCTTTACTCATGATATCGTAATTTTCATTTCTCTTAAATTCTTGCAGAAGCAACTCAAGTTTTATTTATAAATAGTGTTATTAATCCTTTTAACACAAAGGATTCAAATTCTTTTGTTGAAAAAAAGAAGGGCAAATATATATAATATTTCTCTCTTAGTATTTAGGCATGGAATGTCTGGCAGGGTCTTTGCACAGTAGTTGGTGTGTGTGTGTGGAACTTATTTGTAAACTAGTGAAACTAAATAATACTTGTTCCTTGTTTATTACATAGTTATTCAAGAGATATCATGTGGTTCAATATTAACCTTGGTACATGGTGGTATTTTCCTTGGTTTTTTTTTATATAAATTGTAATACATTACATTACACCAGGACGAAGGAAAATATCAAGTTGTACAAAGGGTTAAATTGAACTACAACAAATATAGAACAAAATGATTGTCCAGGAAAAATAGGATGGTCTAGTTTTAAAACTCGCAATAGATGTAAGTAGGTAATGCTATTAAATATAAATATAGACCCACTAGCATTCTATCTGAATGCTGTTTTCCATGAACTATGCTACTCACTATCTGTTCTGTTGTAGATGGTGAGTAGCCTAGCACAATGAATGACTGGCAGATTTACACTGAAACAATTAGATTATTCGCTGTTGATTTCTACATATATATATGGTAGTTGATTTGGGCTGGGCCCTCGTCAACTATGAAATCTTGCGATAGAAATCTCACACTCATAATCTAACTGTTAAATATTATGGCATTTGAATTTCAGGTAATTCAAGTCCGAAAAAAGGCCAGCAAGATTCTTTTTGGGATCAACAATCTAACAGGTAATAAAAGTATTTCCTTCGTAGACAAAGACATAGCCATTTTTCCTGGACAATTCTGTTCAAGGGGAAAAGGAGCAATGAGAATAACCCTTAACCCTGGTACATGTCCAAGAATTCTTTTCTTTTTTATGTTCAGACTTCCAAACCACTAATTTGGATAGTCTATCAACCAATAGGATGTAAGTTGCTGTTGTCTAACCCTGATGTTCTCATGTTCTCCATTCAACAGTTCAGATAATATCTTCTTGGTGTTCTAGAAGCATTTTCTGTATGGGCAAAGTTACTTTGGTATAATCTTAGCACTGTTTTAACCAAAAAGCAGTAAAATAGCTGTGATAGTGTTTCTTTGATATTTAGGAGAGTACTGGAAAATCTTTCCTGACCTCGCAATATTTAGTGGCTCTTAACATTTAGCATCAATTACCGTCTTTCTTCCTTCAGCCACATGTGGCAGTCTTCAGAAGTCCTTGTTTCCTCTTGACAAATTTTAGAAATCTCTGAGTCATCTTCAAAGTATACAATGCCTGTAGGTCATTTGTGAAATGTTTGGAATTTTTAGCTGGTGCAGAGAGGTTGATAAGATTGAACAGTCCAGGCTCACGTCCTGACTGTGTCGTAGTGTTGCATTCTTGGGCAAGGCACTTTACTCTTGCCTGTAGTGCCTCTGTCCAGAAAGGTGTATAAATGGGTACATGGCATATTTATTTCTGGGGATAACAGCCTCCCATTTATTGGGAAGAAGGGGTACTAGATATACTACTAGCTGCTTTACTCTACTGAAACCAGGACCAACCCCAGGGGTATGTTAGGAGACACTTTGGCCAGACACAAATCTCTTTTTAGCTGGGGTCAGAATAGATCTTATAATAACTAGCTAATTTAGTACTTGCATTGTTCTTGTTTGATTTAGTGTGAACCATTCATCAGGATCAGCACAGTATCAGCATCCTTTTGAGGGAAATTCTACAGCTGCTGCTGATCCTTTTATGACCAGTGTGCAGGTGCAAATTTTTATTTCTGTATCTAAAATAGCAATGAGTGAGTAATATTGCTTGGCTTTATTACTAGTGGATAAATACACATGATTATACATTCTAAACTTATGTAAGCTAACTAATTTCTCCATAGAATGAGTTTGATGGCTGGGACGAATGGCCAGCAGAAGATGATTTTTATGGCAATGATTCTTTCCATCAGAATCATGTAGGACCATATGATCTGGTAGGATACAAAAATTGGTTATGCTCTATGATTCTTGTTTGTTTAAAAAAAAAGTAAAATAATTTTTTTTTTGTAATCTTTACTAACTAAATAGCTGACTTATAAACTGGCCAGTTGTGAGGATGATTCCTCCTCCTCCCCCTGCCCCAGTTTGACCATCTAGAGGAAAGTTTTTCTCATAAAAAAGTTCAGATAGTACAGTTCAGTCTCTTACTGGTAATGTTAATGAAACCCTTTTAAAATAACACCAAATGTGTAAGTTGAAAATTTTCATCTATGAGAAGAAAGTCGTACAGTCCAGCGGAAGAATTCATTCCTCTCCACGCCTACCAGAGTTGGATTTGTACCCTATTGTTTCCCTTCTGCATTTCCTCTTTATTAAAATGTTGTTTTTCATCTCTATTAAGACAGCATGCTTAACAATTTCTCCAATGTTCTTAAACTTATCTTTACAGGGAAGTACTCCTAACCACAATACTGGCTATAACGATTCCCAGCTTGTTGTTCCTGAGCACGGTCACTATCAAGAGGATCTCTCTGAGAGTAGCAACTCCTCATCAGTAGAGTCATCTCCTCGTGGAATGGACCCTGAACTTAACAATACGTGGGTTGAGGAAGAAACCACACCCTATTCTTTCTCCAAGTATCCCCCTGCTATGGCATTATCAGGTCAGAACATGACACCACAGACTGCCACCTTACAAAGTTCAGGAGCTGACTTCTTTGACCATTATTTCAATGGGCAAACAAATACAGAACAAAGTGATGTGGGAGAACAGGTTAGTTATTTGATTACATATACACATGTTGCAGTTAAATGAAGGAGGGGGCACCAGAGGCTTCTATCCACTTAATGCTACAGAAACTGAGAGAAACTCTAACAGTATTTGCACCTGGCTCAAGAATTTTTTTGTTTTCCAAAAGGCATCAAACATGTTGGCATCCTTTGGAGTTAAAAGATTAGATAAATTGTGACCAATTTTCTGTCAAGTAAAACAATGCTGCATTTGGTCAACAGAGTTCAACATCTAATGGGCGCACATATGCCAGTGTGTGCCAGGCTGGTGTGCCTGCAGCTCCCTATCAGGACCATGCACAGAACCTGTATTTTAATCAAGAACAGTCACATGTGGCTCCCTCATCACAAGCAGTTGGCACTCCTGAGTTGTTTAACCCCCAGGATAATGAGCTGGGTGCTGAGACATGGAGTCGAGAACCTGAATTAGGCAGCTGGTCTCCTGTGTTTAATCACGAGGAGATCAGTGATCAACAACATATGCCTGAATCATTTGAGCCAGGTAATAATTAATAGTTAGTAATAATAGAGAGCTTGTGGCTCCCTGTCAGGACTACGTGCACAGCACCACCTGGATTTTTACCAGGGGTAGTTTGCTTGTTTGTTGCAAGCAGTTGGTGTTCCTTAGTTGTTTCTATATCAGATATCCCAAGATTTTGTGGAATTCAGAACCTTAATTGGGTCTCTGGTATTTAATTACAACCTGGACAAGATAATGGAACCATTTGATCAGGAGTATGAAAGCCAGTGGTGACCAATACTCAAAATAAAGGCTGTTGGTGATGTGGTGAACCCAACAGGTCATTTGCCTGTAGCCTCCAGGCTTGTTAGTAACCCTGGACTCACATCATTGATCAAATATTAAAATTCTAACAACAGATGCATTAATTATATGGTGTATATATCTTTTTAGAGAACATTTTATTAACTGCTATAATATATTGTTCTTCTAAATATAAATATGAAGGTGATTCTGTTAAAGAAGAGACAATGGATGATGCTGGTCCAGTGCAAGCAGACCCATTTGCTGTGGATAGTACCAAGAAAGGTATCTTCTCTGAAGAAGAGTCAGCATCACATTTAAATTTCTTTGATAATGTTCACCCACAAATTCCGATAGAAGACATGTCGGAGCTTCTTGGAAACCTGCATCCTGCAGCTTTTGTGGCCTCTCCAGCAACAGGTTATGCCATGTTGCACAACAGTGATTTCAAGCCTTCACTAAAAGAACCTGTGCAAGCAGACCCTTTTGCTGTGCAGAGTTGGCAGAGAGATAGCTATCCTGTAGCGGCTCAAGTATCCCATCGCAAATTGTTTGACAATGTTCACCCACAAGCTCCCATGGAAGGCATGTCAGAACTTCATGGAAACCTCCAGCCCAGAGCTTTTCCAGTCACAAGAGCAGAGGGTGATGTTATGTTGAACCATAGTGATCTAGAACCCTCACTACAAGAACCTGTGCAAGCAGACCCTTATCTTGTGCAGAAAGATAGCTTCCTTGAAGAAGCTCCAGTGTCAAATCTGAATTTGAATGAACATCAACCACAAGCTCCCATGGAAGGCATGTCTGAGCATCATGGAAACCTTCAGCCTGGAGCTTTTCAAGCCTCTCCAGCAGAGGGTGATGTCATGTCACATTCTAGTGATTTGGAGCCTCCATCACAAGAACAATTCGAGGCAGTTCCACGCAGTAGAGTGCCTCCAGGTGTCCAGCCTAATATCCCGCAGAACATTGTCGAACAGCCTGAAACACTGCAGAACATGGCTTTTTCAAAGGGCGATGTTAAGTTGCATCATGATAGTGATTTAGACCCTGCACCCAGTATGATGCTTGCGGGTGTACCACCTGCTATCCCACAAGCTTCTGCTCAAAATGGTGAACCATTGCAAACTGTGACTCCAGGTGTTCCAACATCTATACAACAAGCTTCTGTTCAACATCCTGAACCACTGCAGGACATGGCTCTCTCAAATAATGATCTTGTGTTGCATCATAGTGATTTAGAGCCTCCACTCAGTATGGTACCTCCAGGTGTGCCAACATCTACACAGCAAGCTTCTTTTCAAAAGCCTGAGCCAGTCCAGGCCAGTTTGGTACCTCCAGGTAATCTGCCTTCTACTCCACAAGCTTCTGTCCAACAGCCTGAACCACCACAGGACATGGCTCTCCCAGAGGGTGATATCATGTTGCACCGTAATGATTTGGAGCCTCCACCCAAAATGGTACCACCAGTTGTCCCAACATCTACCCCACAAGCTTCTGTTCAACAGCCTGAACCAGTGCAGAACATGGCTGAAAATATACGTGCTGATCCTGATCATGATGCCTACATCAAATTGCCATCTCATGAAAAACCTTTAGCAGACTCCTTGGACCACAAGCCATCAATGGAAATTCCCTCTGGGACATTCAAGCCATCATCAGTAGTTGAAGCAGTGCAACCTCCCTCTCTGGGCAAAGTGCCTTCAGAGGGAACTCCACTTGAGTTGTTTAAACCAGCTCCTGTTGAGCAGATGCAACTACATATGCCTCCTAAGATGGAGGGACAATTTCAGCCAAGTGGGAAGCTGAAGTCTGTAGTAGATGGTAAGAAAGTGCATAAAAATTGATGATCATTATATAATTATGTAGTACATATTTTCACTTCTCAAATGTTCATTTTAAAGGGCCAGATGGACCTCAACTATACATGGACACACAATACTGCCTCTCTTGCACACTCATAGGTTGACATGGGTTTGTTAGTGGAAACCTTAGCAAGCAGACACCAGCTAGGAACCAGGCACTTTTGTGGATAGAAGTCAAGTCCCAAAATTAAATCCCTTCATTTATATACTGTGCATACAGTAAATTATACCCTAATGTAGTTGTCATAGTAATGTATTTCCACTTCTCAACATGCCTCCACTACTGAAGAATTTTCTACCAAACTGGGTAGAAACCTCTTGACAGATTGTTTTTGTAGTGTTTTGAAACTTGGCTGTACATAAACTTTTAAAAGATCTTTGTCGCATTCTGGTAGTCTCATGTCTCAGCTCTTTTTTTTTTTTAAATAGATTAAATTTTTTGTGAACCCTGTGATGTAATCTGTGTTACAACTGTATTATGCTTGACTTATCTTGTCTGTAGAACCAGACAGTCCTCGAGATGCCATTCAGGCCGCATTTCTCCAAAAGCAACTGGCTGGGAAAGCGCCTGCTTCCTCCCCACGCACATCTCTGTGGATGAATAGTGTTCCACTACCAGCGCCATGTGTACTGGCTCCAGCAGCTGTTGCTGCAGTTGAATCCTCTGAATTTCATGGCAATGATCAAACATCTCCTGCTGACAGAAAGGTATGTTTTATATTACTTGCAAAAATGTTTAGACTATTTTAATTTTAGACAAAAAAAGGAACCGGAAATAAAGCATCCAAAATTTTAAGCATCTGAAATATTTACAGTACAGTAACTTTGAAGTAGATCCAAAGCTCTTAGTTTCCTTTATGCTGGGCTTTATGGAGCAAACTCTAGTTGAGACACTGCTTGATGGCTTGATAGGATAAAAAGATAATAAAAAGTGTGAGAAAATTAGAAGTCTGAAAAAAGGACGTCCAGAATATTTTGCAAGTAAATGTAGTTTTTGGCACAAAATTAACAGGCCTTTTTTCTGTGGCACCCAATCATGGCACCTTGCCAGACATGATGTTTTTACTCTAACTTACTAGCTTTCAGTTGTCATTTACATATTAGTAACTGGTGTACTATCTTAGATAGCTTTTTGCTTAATAATTAAGTAAAAAGCTACCTAAGTGAACCTGTCTGTGATAGTGTTTGTGAGTGCAAATGTGTGTGTAGGTTTTTGTGTTTCTAGGACTAAGGTATGGAATCTAAATGTCTCACTGACATAATATCTGAGTTGGCTACTAGGCTTCTTTCCAGGTAGCTGAGTACTGTCAAAGTTAATTTTCCCTCCTCCAAAATAATGTAAACTACATTTTTAGTTTACTTCTTAAAGGTGGTTGTTGCTCTGTACCCTGATGCATGTGCTCTTCACCAGCAGGGCATACAGCTTCAAGTTACAGATGCACCACACCAGCAAATTACACCAGTTCAAGCAGAAGTGCCTGGGCCAGTGCTATCTAAACCATTTCAACCCACTCAAGGTCAGGATATGTTTCCACCCACACCATATGCAAGTTCATCTGCAACACAGGAGAAAGTATCGAGAGAACTGCCTGGTGTTTCAACTACACCAGCCTCAGTGCAAGTCACTGGACAAGAATTACCTCAGTCAGTGCAGTCTGCACCATTTCAACACACTAAAGGTCAGGATCTCTTTACACCCTCACCATATGCAACTTCATCTGCAATAGAGGAGAATGTATTGAGAGAATTGCCTGGTGCTTCAATGGCACAAGCCTCAATACGAGCCACTCGACAAGAATTGCCTCAGACAGTGCAATCTCCACCATTTCAACCCACACAAGGTCAGGAAATCTTTGCACCCTCACCATACATATCATCATCTGCAACACAGGAGAGCATATTGAGAAAATTGCCTGGTCCTTCAACTACACCAGCCTCAATGTCAGCCACACAACAGGAATTATCTCAGCCAGTGCAATCTGTACCATTTCAACCCACTCAAGGTCAGGAAATCTGTACACCCTCACCAGCTACACGAACATCTGCAGCAGTAGAGAAAAAAAGAGAATTGCCTGATGCCTCAACGGTAGTGGCCCCTGTGCAGATGTCACTGGCATCCTTACTTCAGGGAGGTAAGGGTCGTCCAAAGAAGAAAACATCGGAAACATCTAAAATGGATGTAGGATCATCACAGGATGTTACTGTGCCATCTCAGGAAACCTCGCCGCCAAATCCATTTGCACCTCAGTCTGGCTCACCATCAGTTCCTCCATTAAATTCTGTAGATGAGTCATCTCATAATTCTGAACAACAATCGAACATTGAGTCTCTTGGCTCAGGTGATAGAACAGATCACCGGTATTTGCCTCCTAATGAGAGTGAATATCACGATTCTTATTCACGTGAAAATTCACGGAGTCGAGATGATCCTTACTATGAGCATAATAGGAGAGAGCCTTATTATGACCAGGACAGGAGGGAAAATGATCGTAGGGACTATGATAGAAGAGACTATGACAGGCGAGAACATGAGAAGCGTGACTATGACAGGCACGATTATGACAGAAGAGACCGAGGAGAATTTGACAGAAGGGAAAGTGATTACAGCAGGAGAGATTATGATTCTAGGGAATATGATAGAAGGGATTTTGGTAGAAGAGATTATGAAAGGAGGGACAGCTATCATGATCGAAGGGATTCTTATTATGGGTATGGGTCACCAAGACAAGGCAGAAGGGGTTACAATGAAGGACGTTCTTCTAGGGAAGACTTGTATAGAGCGCCTGATCCTGGATATGCTCATTCATACCACAGTGGACGTAGTACGCCATCATCGGACTATGAAAGAAACAGCCCTGCATATGACTATTCATCATCGTCATACGCTTCACATCAGTATGGTTATCCATCATACGCTGATTCTCAATCCATGGACATGTATCAATATTTAACAATGTTGTACTATTATTATCCACAACATTATGAACAGTACTGCGCCCAACAGGGCTACTATAACATGGGTTATACCCCAGAACAGCTGGCGCAATTCTACAGTGGTATACCATACCCTCCTGGGTATGAAGGTTCACAGCCAGAGCAAGGTATGAATGGATTTGCTTTGTTGTTACTTGTGAGAAAACACACTGTAAGAAACTGCTCCCTAAAAGTAAGTGCTTCTTTAAACCTACAGTGTATGCAATGCAGTTCACTTGTTGATCACCAGATCAAAGAGGGTGAAAGTTTGGGAACATTAAAAAAAAGATTGTGAAAACAATCGCCTACTGCTTGTTTTCCCACAGCCTTCCTCATATCACAAAACTGTTTAAAAGTTTAAATCTTAACTTGACGGAAACATATCAAGAAAATTTTACCTATGAATTTCTCAAAAGATAATTCATTGCTATGCAAAGTTAGCAGAACGGACTTATGTGCTTCTAATTACCACAAAGAGAACGAAAGAGAGTAAAGCTAGCAGAAGGACAATAGTTCCATTGAAAGCAAAATTATACTGCGTACATAAATGACCAATCACATCTTCTGACCAACAGCCAGAATTCATCAGTTAAAGTTTACATACCTCTTCAAGAATTACAAGATTGTCATCAGAAATGGCAGAACAGGGTACTTGAGTTGAGTGAATGTGTATTTTGTCTTTTCTCTTCTTGGTTCTAGCTGCTGAGGCTGAAGTCCAAGAATCCGAGCCTGCAAGACTGACCCCTCCTTTGTACAGGGTGCAGCACCCCTTGGTACAGTTCACTGGTGGTGGCCGGCTGATTTCACTGATGAGTAGTGAAGATGAAGAGGAGCAACCTAAATGTGTCATTGCATCAGTGCAGGTCAGTATAGTCTACGGTGTGAATGGAAATTCTCATTCAAGAATTCAAATGCTAATTTAGAAGATGAAAAGTTTTAAAATGTATTCCAAACTTGACTTATTTTATGATTTATTTTATAAATCATCATGTTTTCCTTTCTACACAGATGGTGTTTAGTGTTGCAGAGATGGAGATCATTAAAGCATTTCCTGGTCCACTTTCTAGGTCTGTTGAAAGGCTTTGAGTCATGCATAATGATGTACTATTACTTCAGGGTTACCACCAGCATGTGATGGATGTGAGATGGTAGATAGCCAGTCAGCGAGGCCATATGCACCCTGGGCCAACTGATAGTTATGATCATTTCATATCCAACAAGCAAAAATGACCAGTAATTGATTTATTAAAACAAAAATATTATTAATCTTCCTAATTTTATTTAAAAATCAAAAAAAAGGAAAATAGCAGATGTGGGGCAAGGAAGCATGAATGCAAACTGGATTCAAACATTTTGATACCAAAACACTAGCCTGCGAACAGGCTCCCGGTTGGTTTCAGAGCGAGCTAGCCGAGTGTAGAACAGGGCGAGCGGGACGAGCCGAGAGCGGTCTGGTGACGAGGGAGTGCACGGGGGAGCCTGTAGACATTCCATTGATGGCGCCGTTCCATGATACCAGCTCCTGGTATCAAGATCTGATTGGTTGAATCNTGTAAACAATGTCCTAGCTTTTCAACTTTGACAGCCAAAACCACACTCTCTTGACCAGAAGCCCCAGTCAGTTCTTTGTTTTTTACCCTGTTAAAAACTGACACCACCAGCACTCTTTTCCCTTCAAGCGGATTTAATAACTTTTTGCAGAAACGGCAAATACGTTCCCGTTCGCCTTACATTTCCCCTTACTGCAAAACCCGCGTGCGGTAGAATGCTACAAAAAGCCGATATATCAGTGCGGGAAAAACCATCAATTTTGACAGGTTTAATTACCTACTTGACTGATTTGTAACAGGCTAATCACCAAAGGGCGGAATGGCGTATCAAAAACAATTTCTACAGGCTCCCCCACGTCCCACTCGCTTCGCTCATGGATTCACGCTCCAACTCCCACTCGCTTCACTCACGGAATCACGCTTTCGCTCACTGAATTTTTTTTCCACCCTCACTAGGAGCCTGTTCGCAGGCTACCAAAACACATGAAAAAAATTCTTGAGTTTAAATTTCTTGAGTAAATTTAATGTGCATGTATTAGGTTAATTGTGTAGAGCTGATTTATGAAGTGGCAAGTTAAGAGTGGTCACCTTTTTCATCCCAATAATAGCATATACTCAAGTAGGACAGAGGTGATATCTTACTGTGAACTGAGGAGTACTGTAACTGACATGTCTGCTGATGGTTTGGTGAAATCTCTCATATGGAAGATTTTAGCAAATTTGGTCAAACACAATGGGGTATGTACATGTAGTTACAACTTAACATTACTGCCTCCAATCTTGCATACATGCCTATCTGTCTGTCTGTCTGTACATCCGTCTATCTGTCTGTCCATCTACCTGCCGGCTACCTGTGTGTCTGTCAGTCTGCCTGCCTGTGCCCATTTGTTTGTTTTTCATCTCATCTTCAAATCATGGAAACCGTAAATATAGGATATCTTTGAATTTCCAGTAAACCCTTGATGAAAAAGTGAGAATCTGAATCTAAATAGTTTTGACTTGAAAATCTTTATTTCCAAGCTGCAAACTTAAAGACAAATTGCTGTGCTTGTTGAAAACACATGCACAAAGCTATTAATTTGAATTTACGAAAGAATGCTAATCTAGTAAAATTTATCATCTATTTCAAGATCAAGCATTTGTAGAACATTGATCTAAGTTGAGTGCACTGATTTCTGTTAGTGAATTTTGAATGGTACTTTGCAGGCATTTGTGGCTTCAGATTTGGCTGAGTTGATTATGGAGAACTGGAGGAGCTGTAACTCTTCAGACCAAAATGAATTCCTTTCTGCTGAGGCTGGGCCACTATCATCAGAGTATGAAAAGAGCAAACATCTTAGTGTTTTTAGAGAGATGCTCTTAGTTGGAGCAACCAAGGTAAGACAAATAGGCTTTTCTTGTATGAAGAATCTTTAAGGGCCAGTTAGATTACTCTTATTTAGCTTTTGGCCCTGTTTTTTTTCCCTGGCTCATATGGTGGATTTGACTCAACTCTGGTTCATGGGGAAAAAAAGCAACCCCTTCCTACTCTAGCCTGAAATTTCAGTCATTTCCGGCCCTCAGCCTTACTGGCTTGGAGGCTTGAGATGCCTACTATTACTCGTAGTTTAAAGCTCATTAGTTTCATGACTGCTCTTTTAACCCACTGGAATAACAAAGAGTTCAGAAAGAAGCCATTACTGGGGTAGACTATCTCATGTTATTTGACTGCTTGTTTGTATTCATTCTTGTATCAGGATGCCCTTGAATACACAATGAGATATGGTCTGTGGGGACATGCAATGGTGCTAGCATCAAAAATGGACAAGAAGGTGCAAAATGAAGTCACAAACAGGTATGTTGTAAATGAACTAACTACAAGGTGTAATGTGTAAACTGTGTGTGTCAAGGTACAGAATTTAGTGGTTATGAATTAGAAAATGAATTAAGAAAAGTCATTATCTATGTCATGTAGAAGGTTATTTTTGTTCATTGTGGTAGGATACAATAATGATAAAGCATATTGTACATGTACATATGTACCACTTGAGATGTAGATTGTAGTGTTTCAAGATAAACTAAATGTTGCTATCTACATCTCTTGAAGTGACTACATTGTGAGACAAATGATAATCTTTAGTTTATTATTAAGTTATCATCTAGTTGGGGCCAGTTAAGCCATGAAATGAGGATGATGTTGAATGGTTAAACTAAGCATTTGCAATCAACAGGATATGTGCCTATCTAATCTTTTATTTATAGCACTCAGACGGATTACAAAATGTGACCAGATACAGTGGTTATCTTGAGGACTTTTTACTTACTTTTTACATTTTACTTAGATCAATACATCATAGGCCTTAGAAATTGCCCTGCGAATGTCTAGCTGTCAGTTTGTTCAGTTAGCAGTAGACGCCCATGCTGGCCAGGTTCACTTTATACAGTAGTGTACCATCTAGCTTAATTCTTTTGTCTTGTGCATTTCTCGTGATGTCAGGTTCATGAAGACCATGACTGACTTTGACCCAATCCACACAGTTTATGATCATCTTTCAGGACGGCAGCCTGTAGCATTAATGGTAAGCTAAAGTTTTGTTCTGTTTACTGATTGGCAAAAAACTGTTTTGCTCTCATTGATGTAGTCCACGTGTGTAGGTCTGGCTGTTTGAATTATGTTATTTCTGGTTCATCCACATACCATATACAGTGGTAACCAGATGAAATGTTTGTAGTTTTACCTGTGATGCAACCTATCTCACCTGTAACTTGCCAAATTTCCACAAAGGATCATTTTTTCATGTACCTTCCTGGAATGGAGTTGATGGCAAAAAAGTCCTCTTCAGAATCCAACCTACCCCTTCCAGGATGCTGGCTATCCCAGCTGCGATCTGCACACTTCTCATCTCTGCTCATTCTACCCAGTCTCTTACCTATCCAGTTGGGCCCTGGTGATCAGACTTGATTTAATATTAATATAGGCCTGTTGAAGTTGTAACTAGATGATCCATTGGAAGTATTCTGGATCAGATTTCCATTTTTTTTGCCACTTCTGATTCTGCTTACTCCTCTGTTAGACGCCTGATGACTGGCAACGGAACCTTGCAGCAATGGTGGCCAATCCACCTCGTCAGCATCCCCAGTCTAACAAAAGAAACATGATCTGTTTGGGAGACACTCTCAGTAAGTGCTGTATACAGTATTCAGTTATTTCCTAGCAAATTATTAATATACAAACATTTTGAATTGCTGTAAGTTGTTCTCTGGGCTACTTTTCCCTTTCAGTCGACCTTTACCCTCATAATGCCATTATTGGTAACTATTTTGAATTCTGTTATTTCAGTGACTAATGACCAAGTCTGGGCAGCACATTTGTGCTACACTTTGGCTGGTGAGCGATTCGGCTTTCCATATGATGAAAAGACCAAGATGGCACTGATAGGAATTGATCATAGGTAATGATAGGGTTCACTTTGACACTGGTATAATAAATTAAAATTATAAGATAACAAACTCAGTAAGTAGCTATTATTTTACAGGCACTGTGTTATTATAATTATGATGAAGAAAGTTTTGTGTAATATACTAGGTTAATGAGGTTAAGTTGATATATTGAAATGGAACATCAGCGATAATGGAGGTTGTGGTGAAATTGGCAAAATTTTCACCCTAATAAAATTTCTTTGTCTTAACAGAAAGAAAACAATCACAGACCAGCACATTCCTCTTGAAAACCTGCAAATGATGGAGGTGTGGACTATAAACAACTTAATATCTTGGTTTACTACATTGTACACTTGTAGAAAGATATGAAAATGAATTAATGGAGCAACATATGTTTACTAAAAGTTATTATTATTATTTTTTTTTTTTTTCCAGGTGCTAGAGTATGCTGTCAGTTTAAATAGCGAGGACCATTATATCCCTGTCTTACAGGTTTGTGACAATTGTAACTGAGGTGTTGTGTGGAAGGAGTACATGTAGCTGGGGCTACTAAACTACAGTGGGGACCTTTAGATTGGACTGCGAGTACAAGATTGAGTATGATTTTCGAATTTGAAACCAGTGACATTTCCACAGCCCTTACTCTTCATGTTGGTTTTAGATAGAGAGGGTAGCTTGTGAGATGAGATGGATTTATGACATGATAATGTGAAGCCTGAAACTAGAATTGAAAAGTCGTACTTGTACTGGATTTCATACTCGTACCCAAATCTAGGTCACCTAATAAAATATAGCTTGGTCTTAGAGCAACATTTATAGTAAGACTTACTAGCCCTACTTATGTCGCTCACAGTGGCCTTTGATTCTGCCAAATGATGGTCTGTGCTCAAATTGACTCTCAAGTTAAGGATGGTTTGCTTGGTCTTTTCGTGGCTGGTGAGGCCAATCTGGCTTGTGAAGGCTAAAGAAATCCCCCAGCAATCAGAGTTATTGTCTTGTTATACTCAGTTAACTCTTTCCAGTTCAAAATTGTACTGATAGATAAATGCAGTGTTAAAACCTTAGGTATTTGTACTCTGGTGACTAGAGGCCAAGGGTAGGTTGATGACTCACTTTGCTTTGTGAAGAGTGAATGCCCGAAACCTTGCTACTAACAGTAGTTAATTTTCAAGTTCATAAATGTAGCTAAATGACTCTGGAAGATTGTAATTACATGGCCAAAGAAACAATGCACATGAACAGAAAACTGCAAATTTGTAAATGCAAACGATCTCAGTCATGTAATTTTCTAACATTACTGTTCTTCCTCCCTTAGACATACAAATATCTCCATGCTAATAAGTTGGCTGAAGCAGGCTTCACTGATGAGGTAAGATAAAAAGACATCCTTGGTGTAGACTGCTGATTTACTTTCATTCCCTCAGACAGTAAGCAATAAACTTTGTCTATTTTGATCTCAATTAGGGTACATATATTGTAAGTTGTACTGGTAATTCATGTACGTTCCCAAGGAGTATAAGCAGTCTAAAAGTTATGTTTTATGCTTGACCACATACACGTACCAAAGTTTATAATGGATCAGGAAATGACAAAGCAGTAATTTATTGTTGCCTTTTACCATGACAGGCTTTGCACTATGCAGATCTCACTGGAAAAATATTAATTAAACATCCTCACCACTTCAACTCAACTTTAATTAAGAACATGAAGGAGGTAAGAGTTGCTATTTTACTTTAGGCAAACCTTCAGTAATGGAGGCAGTGTGAAGATGACATTGATTTCTGAAATGAATTTAAGTCATGTTCCTTGATCACTTTTGGTGAGATATACCAAGAACAGACTTGTCATACATGTGGTATGAAACAAGAAAAGTTAGTACTTGTGCCTTTCAGTTAGCTTGTAATTAAGTGGGATATCTTTCATGTTAAATGCTACCAAAAGCGTTACTTTACTGAGATGATTCAACAGTTTTCGGTATTTTTCCATTCTCCTTTCCCAATATGGTTTTTCAAGTTATCATTCTGTCAGCAGTTTTGATTTTAATGTTTTCTCAGTTTGTCGATGGTAAATGTAATAATTTTCAAGCCACTCTTTAAGAAGTGAGTTAACAGTGATCAGATTCAGATTTTGTTAGCACATAACTGCAATTATTGAATTTACGTTGGTCCTCTGATGCAGAGAAAGAATTAAGCATTCCTTTTTAATGTAACTCAAGAAAATCATTCTATACACCAAGTCAAAGTTTTAGTCAAGTTCAAAGCTTTTGACCATTCCACACATCCTGCATTCATCAAGCGAATAATTTTACGTTTGGACCAGTTGTCATGTGATGTAGTTCAGTTAAGTTGCAATAATTCATGTAGCCATACCTTTCTTTACATCTCAGCTGACAGATAGATTGAATCCTGAGGGTCAAGATGCTGCTGTTGCGGAAACAACAGAAATGTTGGACAGGCTTCTACAAGCTAAAGATGTAAGCATAACAATTCTCTTGGTATTTTACTGTCATTCTCAGGCCTTAGGTAGGGTGTGAAGTAAGTCCATGCATCTTTACACTGGAACCATAAAATGCTTTTTAATCAGAAACATCAATATCTTTTGCATTCATTGGTAAGAGTCTTCTTGAGTGTTAGAAACAAGTCAATGCTTCTTCCCAGCCCACTCACACTGTGGTTCAACTCATCAAAGTTATTATTTTTTGGTTGCCTTTACAGTCATCCCAGATCAGTAGCTCTGTGACTGAGAGTGAAGGCGAGGTGGAAGATCCTCTGGCAGAGAGTTCAGCATCATTTTTCTCTGGATATGACCCAGTTAACACACCTAAACATCAGGTTGAGAAAACTGAGCAAGTCCAGCATCAAGATTCTTGGGCTGAACCCACATCAAGTGCACCTGCAGTAAGCCAAGACTCCATGGCTGATCTTCGCCAGGATTCATGGTCTGGTAGTACGGATACACGAGTAATCCAGCCTGATCTTCCTCCAGCTCAGCCACTTCCTCCAGCTCAGCCGCTTCCTCCAGCTCAGCAGCTTCCCCCTAGCACAGGTCCACAGCCATCATCGCCAAGGAAGGAGCCTCCCCCAGCTGTTGATCCCCCTGCACAGCCACCCTTCTTTGTTCCAGGCCCACCTGTCTCACAGGAGCTTCCTGGACAGATGGAGAGTGAGCAACCAGCACCAACGGAGGTGCAGCCTTTTTATAATCAGCAGCCACCATGGAATAACAGTCAACACCCGCCATGGAATGACAGTCAACACCTGCCATGGAATGACAGTCAGCAGCCAACATGGAATGACAGTCAACAGTCCTCATGGTCAGAAGGGGTTGGATATGAAGAGTCAAAGAAAGTTGAGCCCCTTCCAGCTAAAGGTATGCAGTGAAACAAAAACAGATTTCTACAGTTAAACCCCCATTGAGCAACCACCACTGGGGAAATGGGAGGTTTTCACTCAATAGGGGTTGGCCACAAAGCTTAACTAGTAGAAATGTCAATTTATAGAAACACAAAAATGCTTGAAGGCTTGCAACTAGTGTTGCACATAATAACATCTATCACTGTTTCCTGATGTACTTGTCGCAAAAATTTAATGTACTTTGAAACTTGCAATCGCGTCAAGACAATCATCACAGTCACTTTGTAGTTTGTACTCGAACAAACAAAGCCAAACTACATGCATTAAAATTTAAATATTGGGTGGCCACTTAATAGGGTTAAAGAAGATAGACAACCCTCACTGGATGACCAAAAGGTGGCTGTGGCCACTTGAAAGAGGTGGCCGGTAAATACTGGTAGGAGTTTTATTTACAGTATTTGTGACAACAATTTCAGGACTTTGATAACTGGCTGCTTAATAAGGGGTGGCCGCTTTAGCGAGGTTTGACTTTATGTTTTATTGGAAGATTGCAAATTTCATGTTGTTTGCAGAACCTGAGCCACTTGCAAAAGAAGAACCAAAGCCTAAACCATCTGCGAAGGCAAAGAAAAAGGCAAATAATGGCAGTCAGGTTGGTTAAATGATGTTATTCTCCTTTATACACTTGATCCCCATACACACGTACCTCAGTCCTTTCAGCCCAAATTATTTGCTTGTGACTGCTAGGCAGGTATGTTACTTACTTGAAGATTTTCATTTTTCTCATCATTTCTATTTAACAGTCAGAGTGTCAATCAATCAACAAAAAAGATGTTTTGAAGGAACATAACCCCAGGTGGTATTAAATTATTGGCATTTCATAGTATGTCTTCTATTCTTTTCAGGGTGGTTGGTTCTCTGGCCTCTCGGGGATAATTCAGAAGGTTATTCCTCGTGGCCCTAATGAAATGATTCTACCAGATGACACAAAAAAATCGGTAAGGTCTTATGTGACACACTGTCTTACTGCCCAGTATAGGTTAAGTCTGCATACGAGCCAAGCAGCCCATAAGGCTGGAGCTTATCCCAGTTTCTGTAGCATGAAGCAACTAGGAGTATTTCTATTCCCCCCCAGGATGGGATGTTAGAGTCCATAGCAGGGTTACCCCAGCATCAAGTTTGTTGGCATCCATTTATACACCTGAGTAGAGAGAGTCACTGTGAGAGTAAAGTGTCTTGCCCAAGAGCACAACACAATGTACCCAGCCAGGGCTTAATCCTGGACTGCTTGATCCAGAGATGAATGCCCTAATCATGAGGCCATCGTGCCTCTGAGGGTCATTGTTTAATGACCCAACTTAAGGTTGTGAAGGATCTCTGTAGGATCTCCTTTTCTAGAATAAAGTTGTTTTTGGCTTTGTGTCCAAACACGATCTACTTTTAACATTGTTATCGTAACAATCCTGTATTAGATTTACTGGGATGAGGATCTTAAAAAGTGGGTCAACACAGATGAAGACGAGGAGGTGTGTGTATGATGATTTTCATAGATATTATTAGTTCCTTAGATTGTCCAATCTCAATTTGAATCAACTGAGCCAAACCTTGTGAGAAAAACTTATCCTAGTGTGTTGTCTAACTGAAGATTACAGCAAATTTAGCTTGTTTTCAAATGAAGATTTGAAAAATTTCCAGATGATAGTATTTAACAACATCTGTATACTATGTTGTTACTTCTCCCAAGCAATTTTGTTATGGTAACTGGCTGTTTTGGAATATGTGCTATAGGGTCTGCTCAAATGAACAATTTATAAAGCAATTTGTGAAAAATAAAATGCGCCCATATGGAGAATCTCAATAAATACAAAACCGGCCAAAGTAACCAGGGATGCTTTAGATCAAATGTCATTGGAAGACGATTCTATTGTACTGTAAACTAACATGACTTCTTTTCTTTTGCAGGAGAAGGCTCCTCCACCTCCACCTCCTAGTGACATGCAGCTTGGTGGTGGAATGCCTCCTCCAATGCCTCCTCCAATGCCTCTTGGTCATGGCATACCCCCCAATGGAGGTAACAATTTGCTGATGTAGTTTTTTTTTCCTGATTTTGTGCTGTTTCTCATGTCCCCATCTCTGTGAATCTGGTGTGCAACAGAAGGTGCATGCGTTAATCTCTGATTGTTTTGTCTAGGTACTGCAGTTAAAGGTGTGGGTGGACGGGCTGGTTCACCTCCATTTAGCCCTATGCTCATGCCCAATGTACCTGGGAGGCCAACTCTTCCAGGAAGCCTGCAGCCAAGTCCGGGAATGCCTACTGGTATGGCCACACCTCCTGTGGCTTCTAAATTTTCCAGAAAGGCACATGGTGGCAGCAGACATGGTGAGCAGTTGGTGAAATTTCATGCATTTGTCTCTGTTTAGGCTAAGCCTTATACTTGCCAGTGTAAAGGGCAACCTTTTCAACATCACTGATCAATTTGAGCTTAGGAAATTGTGAATCACTTAATCATGTTTTTTTCTCTCTCCCTGCAGCTAAGAAATATGTGGATGTTCTGAACCCAGGTGGAAAAAGCTCTAATTCTGCTATGCTTCCAAGCAGCCTTCTTCCTATGATGCCAATGCCTGGCGCCGAATTCAAAGGCAATTTCTTTGTGCCTTCTCCTGTGAATACAGGTAATAGAATGCTACTTGCTTTCCTGGCCTGCTTGTCCGCATATGTAGTCCTTTCTCCACTCCAAAATTATCCCTGGGGTCACTTGCTGGGAGATCAGTTTGTTTGGTGGATGTGAGTCGCAGCACATAGTTGCCTGCAGCTCTGAACAGTTGCAATTAGTTTCAAAGTCGTGTCCCTGGTATTTATACAGTGGTATAACTGGAGAAATATACAGAGCACCAAGCTTATGGAATGCTACCTTTGTTTCTTATCAGACAGTCTTCCTATTGAATGTAAAAAACTTTAATCACAGACAGAATAGGTCGAATAAACTTGTAAAAGAAATTGTCCAATAAACATTGTATTTAACCAACCACACCTCACCATTCTCTGTTTCCGTTTGAATACAGGTTTGGTATTCAATGGCAGAGCACAAAGTATTTTTAGCATGTATAGCTCACATTCCTTTGTTTGTTTTCAGACACATCTGATGAAAGAACAGATGAGCAAACTCTTGATCAGTCGCCAGCTATTGGCAATCCTTCTTCACGTCCCTCATCTAGGTATGTTGGCAAGTTATCAATAGATGTAAAATAGCAAAGAACCCACTCACTAGTAATGAGTTTTGAGATTTTGGGAAGTGAGTACCATCTACATTGAATTGTTGGGTGCTACATGTTCAAATGTAGGGCCTGGCTGCGTAAATTCTGTTGTTGTTGTTGTTGTTGTTGTTGTTGTTGTTGTTGTTGTAGTCGTCGTCGTCGCTGTGTTTTAAAACCAACCTTTCTTTGACTCTTTTAGAAATGAAGATGAGGATGGGGGTGATAAACAGTCACAGGTAAACTTTCCTTTCTGTGTTTTCTAAGACAAAAACAAAATTTAAAATTGATTTTGATAGCCCTGGCAGTGGTTCTGCTCCAACCAAGGCTGAAGTGTGCTGCTTGTGGTAAATCTGATGTGAAGAAACTTACCATCTCAGGATTTCATTCTTTCATTTGTACAGAATTTTGTTGGGCTGCTTTGGTTATAGTAGTCGCAGTGTAGTTGTCAAACATGAGAGATTTCTTCCATGAAAGGACACATGCTCACATTTTTGCCATTTAACCCATTCAAATCTGATGACGACTTACGTGTAACCAAGTTTCAGTTTAAACTAATTAGAAAATTAAAGCACCTTTGGAATTAAATTTCTTTGAAATGTATGTAATATGTAAGCTGTTTCGAATTAAAATCAAAGAGATGCTTTATTTTTTTTAAAAAGGATATGATTTAATAAGAGGTTAAGTAAATGTTTCAACTAGTTGAAATCAATATTACAGTAATAGTGATATCACGTAAACTGTGAAAGAAGATAAATGCTCACAATCGCATTTCGTGTTTTTCTTTACTGCATTAATATAAATTACCAGCTTGTCATAAAAGTTAGATAATTTACAAAATAAAAGTTCATCAACCCATCCATATTGATGAGAGACTAATCATTTCACTTTGAACAAAAATCCTTAAAGGAGACCCACACAGTAAGACCACCATGTATGATATGGTGTATTGCCACCTTGGAGGTTATTTATCTTAGGCAATTCAAGAATACAAAAATTTGATTTAAAATCAAAAAAAGTTAAACTTAATCTTTGTTTCTGTCGCTGTAAGGAAGAGAACATGCGAAGATCACTGAATTGACGGAAGGCTGTCAATCGATAACGAAGCAAAAATGGGGAAACACTTTAAATTTCACTTGCCTTGTTTCATGTGCACTATTTCTGATTGTATTTGCTTAACTAGCACATTTTTTATTTCAGCATTCCCGTTCAAGCTCTGTTTCTCTCGCATCTGCTGAAGTGCGTAGCTATATGATGCCCCAGGTATATTCACTGTCATGATTCTGCCACTTACAGTCTACTAGTTAGCTTAGTTCAGGCAGAGTCAGTGGGGCAATAATTAGGCAGCAAAACACTGACTAGAAAAATAAAAAAGCTGAAGCTTTGGGCAGGTGACCCTCACTGCATGTTTACCCAATTGCTCTCATTTATTTATTTATTTATTTATTGTTTTGGTCGATGAAGGGTACGTTTAGGGGTGTAGAAAATCCAAACAAAGAACATTAGGTGTTCAAAGCATGTGTATTCCAAGGTCCCCTACTTAAATTTCCCTTGAGGCTTAAATATTTTTGTAAACTTCTTCATCTGCCTGAAATGTAACTGCTTTCCGATTCAAAAGAACTTGCAAGTGTACTTTTAACAGCTTGTTTGTCAATGCCTTTGCCAAGTTAAATGATACATTTAAAATAGGGTCTAAACTAGAAGTTAAGACTTTGTTACAGTATGCAAAGCTCTACTCGATGTCATAACTGAGAACTTAAAGTTGTCTAAAATAAACTGATAAAGTTACTGTAAATGGGTCTGTCATTGCATTTGAATGAGATAATACATTTTAATGTGTGGTATTACTTGCTAACCGGTTACATCTCTTTTTTCTAAAAATTAACATAACCTAACAGTTTGATAATTGCTATTTATCATGTTGGCTTGACGTTATGTGATTTAACGTAAACAAATCCTTGCATTACGCCAGTTAGACTGTCTAAAAGTATTTTCCAATAACTATTTCCTGGCTTGTTGGTTTTGCCGTTCGCGCTCGCGACTTCATCGCTCCAAAATTACCCTCTCGCCTCGCTCGAGGGAGATGAATAAGCGAAAGTTGAGCAAGTTCGACTTGTGGCAAGTGTAGACGCCAGTCAAACACACACAAAAAACCCTTGCTTTGCACGCATGATTCTTTCTACAATCACGAGCCATCTGCCAAGAAGAAATAAAAAGAAATAAGGCTTGGGTCAGTTTGTACTTGAAGAACACTTTATACCATACAGTGACGTTTTACAGTGACATCATATCTTTGACCACATCTATTATACTGACACTTTGTTCTGTCCCTCCAATGTTCGTATTAGCGAGGTTTGACTGTACTTCTGAATGGTTAAATTCCCATTTCTACAACACTTCTTTATGATATCGTCCCTGTTTTTCCTCATTAGTTACCAACTTACACATTTTTTTATGCGAGTGTCGTTCTAACAACTCTCTCTTCGTGTCCACAGGATCCCGACCCACCCCCACAGGAAATGAATGCTGCGCCACCCCCAATGCTCTTTGATCCGATGGCTTTTAGCCAGCCTAGTGCTCAGGCCTCTCCGAGAAAGTCACGTTATCCGGGAATCCGGAAATAAACTTATTCTTCTAAGGAAAATATTTTAATTAATAATTGGAGGTTTTGAAATATTTGTCTGAAAATATTTAATATTGAAATGATGTTATGCTTTTAAAAAAAAAATGTTGTTTTTCTATCGCTCTATCTCCTTCTATTCTTCTCTCTCTCCCTATCTCTGTCTTATCTTTTAAATTTCTTAAGTGTCGCTCTCATTATTTTCATTTTCACGTGAATTTTCTTGCCAGGGCTCTATGCCAAATTTTTAATCCGTCAGTGAAGATTGTTTTTGAATGTGCAGTGGACAATTGACAGATAGTCCACATTTCATAAAAGTGAATTGATTTATTTTTCAACCAGACAAATATTTCAAAATCTCCAATTCCTATTGCCGTAGGTAAAATTGCTTGAACAAAAAAGGTACTTAATTTAAAATTGTAATAGTTAGAAAAAATGGGGGGTCTTAACACCGTATTTATAAATTCCGTAATATTTTAATCACAGCTCTTTCCTGTGTATGTAAGTATAGGTCAGTTATCGTCCGTCTTTTTAAGACAAACTGTCAAGGGTTAATTTGATATCATTTGACTTGACATTCTTCCATTCTTCCAGACTTTCACCAAAATTTTACTTATTTCCTTGTTATTTCTTTAACCTGGGTTTTCAATACTCAAACCTTCCAACTGTGTCCAAATCGAATCTCTATTTTTATTTTGACTCAACAACATACTAAATTGATTTTAGCTGTTTAACTTTCAAGACATTTCAAATAAGAGCCAGACTTTCACTAAAATTTTACTTATTTCCTTGTTATCTCTTTAACCTAGTTTCTCAGTATTCAAACCTTCCAAACTGTTTCCAAATGGAATCTCTATTTTATTTTGAGTTTAAAACGTACTAAATTGATTTTAGCAGTTTAACATTCAGGACATTTTAAATAAGAGCCAGATTTTCATCAATTTTTTATTTAGTTTTTGTTTCTTATCTCTTGAAGGCCAATTTTTTTCAGTATTCAAACTTTCCAAAGTATTTCCAAATCGAAACTTGTTCAGTTTTGTTTCTTTGTCGTTGCTCTTATTTCCACGTTGTCTTCTGGGAAACAACTGCACGATTTACGCTCATAGTTAACCATTACTTATTTGCTTTTCATTGCTGCTTCAGTCATCGTTTTTCTTTTATTTAATTCTTTTAACCCCGTCCTGAAGGAAGAAGCCAGTGTTGATCTTACGAAATTGCCGCCATGTTGGATGATGTCTCCACTGTCAGTTCTCCCAATATGGCGGCTGATCCTAAGTATACCGACAGGGTCTTTGCTAAAGAGGAGCCAGTTTGTTTTGATGGTTAGTTGTGTGTGGTCTCTCAGCAGTCATGCTGGACGACTTGGTATATTGTTAGTTCTCCCAGTATGACTGTCGAGCTTTATCACGTAACAGACACTCACAGTAAATTTGGCTTCTTTTTCTGGTGAAGATACTGAATTGCACACCTTTTTCTGCCACATTGGACGATTTCTTTAGTTGTTAGTTCTCCTAATGTGGCTGTTGTCATCTTGGATGCTACTGGCTATTTTCTTCAGAGTTGGGATCTTTCTTTATTTTCAACGTCTTTATAAATTTGTAAATCATCACTTGGTTTATTCTTTTCCTGGTTTTATTCAAATCTGACCTATTGCAATGCACTTCCTGCAGCTGTTTTCCTTCCTGTCGTTTTCTCTCTCTTTTATTTTCTCTCTAGCTAACGTTGAAAATCTGGCTCATTTCGGAAACTTATTTTTTTGTCAATTTGTGCTAACAGGCTGTACTTTTTTTCCCTTATTCGTTTTTTTTTCCATCATCTAACCTTGAAAGTCTGGCCCTTTCCAGGAACTCAATTTTTTTTTTTTTCTTCGTAACGAAGAGGCTCTACCTTTTTCTCTTTTTTTTTCTTTTTTTTTTCTTCTTTTTTCATTATCTAACCTTGAAAGTGTGACTTGTTATTACGGGAACTTTATTGTCAGTTTGTACTAAAGAAGCTTAATTACTTACTGTACTTTGTTGTAGTTTATTTTCCTTTGTCTAACCCTTGAAGGTCTGGGTCATTTTGGTAACTTTATTTCTGTCACTGTTTAAGGTGCCTTTCTAATTTTCAAGCGAGAGTAAATAATTTCCATGGGGTTCAGTAATGCAAAGAACCTCAAGACATGAAAGTGTCCAAAATAAAATGAATATGTGAGTAGTCACTTATTCCTTGTCTCGATTGTAAAGGCTTGTTACTTCAAACTGTACATGAAATTATGGAATTAATTTCTTTTCCTTTCCTTTCCTCTTGGGGATTATCAGCGTGTGCAAGCAGTGGTATACTGTCACGCGTGATTTGCGTATCATTTCCTTGGGTGATTTTGTTGTAGTTTTTCATTTCCTTAAATTTTGAGAGCGTAGTGAATCATTCACTAGGCTTTGAATGATTTTGCTTTGATGCATGATAAGCTTTGAAACAACGACGTAAAGCTCTTCGAACGTCGCCCGGCCCCACAATGCAGTGTACAACTAAAACTGTCCCCGCTTTTTAGGATATAATTAAAGGAAGGGGAACTGGTCCTCAATGAGCCGAATCGACTAATAGGGAAGACTAATCTATTTTCCTCGCCGGGAAAGTTTCAATGCACTTGTCCATCATGATGTCGCTATTCTACGCTACTATCTGTCACTGTCAAATTTCTCACATACTAATTTGACTAATTTTCTCGTCAATTTTAACGTCTTTTCCCCTCATTTATTCCCGGCTTTTGCCATCTTGGGGTCTTGTTATTGTAAAAAACAAATTGACGTCAGTTTTTTATGCGTCTGTCATCTTGTTGATGATAAATTGCGTCATAACATGGTCAAAGTGGCTGTGGAACCACTAGCCGCAAGCGAGTGGTTTCGCAGTAAACTGACAATGTTATGACGAAATTTATCATCAATAAGAGGACAGACGCGTAGAAAACTGACGTCAATTTGTTTTTTTACAATAACAAGACCCTAAGACGGCAAAAGCCGGGAATAAATGAGGGGAAAAGACGCCGTAAACAAGGATAAGTGAATTTTATTCAAAATGACGGGAACATCAATAGCTTTTCTCACTTTTTGATTGGCTACTTAAAAAAGTCCATAAATCTCATTGGTTAAAAAGTTGGCAGTTTGATAGCTGAAAGTTGAACTTGAAAGCTCGCATAAATTAAAATTTTATCGGTCTGTACTCTTATTGATGATAAAAATGAGCCAATCAACGCGCGAGAAATTAGACAGTTATTATAAAAAAGAGATTATAAGAGCACTGGTGACAAAGATGAAGCCATCACGCGCGATCTTGAACATTTTGCCAACGTTTTGCAGCGTATTTCAATCCTGGTTTGGTCAGTCCCTATATAAGCAACAAATTGCATCTAAATTAAACGGGAGTTCATTGCAGAAATAATCATCAAAATCATTTATAATGACTTTCAATTCGAGACACCCAACGCACTCATTTTTCATATACGGTCAAACACACCCGGGTCCCGGACGTAGTTTCAGATGAATTTTACGAGTAGTGCATGCATTTTCTAGTAAAACGCTCGGGTTTACACAATAAAAATGTGTTACGTCGAATTCTTGGCCTCGTTTAATTTTTCGGAGTTGAAAATCACTGAAATATTGAAAACTGGATAGAGGAGACTACCAACACTACTAAGCAGGCCTTGAGATGGAACCCACAGGGAAAGCGGAAGAGAGAGAGGTCAAGGAACAACTGGCGACGGTCAATGGATGGGGAGATGAGGGAGGCAGGCTTCAACTGCAGGCAACATTTGGAGAGCCAGTCACACGACAGAGAGAGAGATGGAAAGACTTCCTGAAGTACCTATACCCCCACGGGGTGAAAGGGTTTAAGTCAAGTCGATTTAGAGTCCGGGGCGTTTATTACTTTTGGTACCTCAAGGGAGAGCGCTTATTTCTTTTTTGAGAAGCGACCGAAAATTCAAAACAGAACTTTAATACTGTTTATTTCAAAAAGAAACAATAACAGAAACTGTAACAGTAACAAATATAGCATACGTCAGGAATTTTGATCTATTTCGACTGCTTTGACAGTGTCACTTAGGTACATCAATACGTAAATAGAAGCTTTCTGGGGTGGCATCTTGCACGCACTCGCATGGACATAGCAGCTGAGAAACGCAGACGACCACTGGTTTTGTAATGCGGCATTACGTATATGAGCAATTTAAGAAGATGAACCTCCGTTGATAAGTACTCTGACGGCGTTGCGATACTATAATGTTAGAGTAGGGGCGCTTATTAATAATAATAAAAAAACATTCGAGGGGCGGGGGGCTTATTGGAGTGAGGGCGCTAAATCGAATCATTACGGTAAGTCGGATAAAGAGGGCTGGAAAAGAGTGAGTTGCCATGGGAACGGAATTCATCACAGCTGTAATCTGTTGTCTGTAGAACTATTTGAAGTTTTAATGGTCTCTGCAGCAAATTGACCGCGATAGCTCTACTTTTTATACTTGATGTAAGATCTAGTTTATGACAACATCAGTTCCCTAATTTGAATAGAAAGTTCAAGTCTGTATACGAGCTAAGTGGCCTACCGGTCGACCGGTTCTTATCCCAGTTTTAGTAGCATGAAGTGACCATGCAGGCGTATTTCGACTCCCGCCTGGATGGAATGCTGGTCCATCGCAGGGTTACCCCCAGCATTCAATTCGCCGGTACCCATTTATATACCTGGGTGGGACAGGCACTGTGAGAGTAAAATTCTTGCCCAAGAACACAACAACACCTATAATTTGCATATTTTAAATTTTTTTCAAGATTGTGACTAACACACCTCACGACTACTGCGAGGAACATATGGATACACACGATTAACATACGTACATACGAGTAAATACGAATACATATATACGAGTGAAATTCGAATACATACAGAGGCATACTAGTTCTGCAACACTTTCGAGTGGTATAGTGCACCAGGGTCGTAGGTCGCTGAGTGGAAAGGACGTGAACTAAATGAATCGAGATTTTAGTTCATTGCGCAGTTAATTTTTCGGGAGAATGCAATTCTTTGCTTTCTTCATATGCTTTACATAAAGATCCAAAAAACATCAGTTCTAATTTTCGTAATAGATTGAAATTTGCCAAGATACCTAGGAAAGACCTATTGCGTACGAAAATGTAAAAACTGAGTATCGAGAATTTGATCATAGTGCACTTTAAATACTCTTCCTGGGAACATTACTGGACGTGCGTTTACATGATCCCTCTCTTTGTCATCGTTGCCATTGTCGTGAACCGAATGACGTCTCTAAGGCCCCGTCCAAAACTATCCGGATATTTTTGAATCCGCAACTTTTTCTTTCCGGATTCAAAAATTTCTCCGTCCACACGTAGCGTATTCAAATCGAATTCGCCTGTCCACACGCATCCTATGGTATCCGGATTCACTCTGGAGAAACTAGGCCTATACGTTGTGTCGCCATATTGGCGTCATATTGAGACTGGAAACGATTTTGCTACGTCATCGGATTCGAAAATATCCGGATTTACCTTCCACACGTTATTGGATTCGTTGCAGATTTATTTTTTTCCACTCTGGAGAGCGGATTCAAAAATATCCGGATTCGCTGCCGAATTCGCCAGATGCTTGTGGACGGAAGGGGTATCCGGAAAGAAAAAGTTGCGGATTCAAAAATATCCGGATACGTGTGGACGAGGCCTAACTCTTCCTCATTTTCCGAGAGAAATCGTCTTGAAGGACTTACTTTTGTCACTTCCTCATTTGAGTAATTTGCATATCATGCAATTAGCAACTCAATAAACTTTATGTTTATGATTTCGTTAACCAAGCATGATCAAGGAAAAGCTAAAAATAACAGCAGAGAGAAAGAGAAGATCTGACTGGCCAGACTGCATGACGTGAACAATAAAACACCCATTTATGATAGCAAACGGAACTGTCAGGTTTTCGATCGGAAAAGGAGGATGTCTCTGGGCCCGGCGTTGCTCGCGACTAAAGTATAGTTCCAGTTCTAGGAAATAGCCTTGATTTGGTTTGGTTTTTTACCAAAACTGTTGGCAATTTGGTTATCCTTTGATCCTGTCAAGTCGAGAAACGTTGGCAATGTATGGTCTTGCTTTCTACCTGCTTATGACGAATCTGCCATGTGCTGAAGATATTATCAACCAAGGCACATGCGACTGGATTTGTACGAATGATACGGACAATGACGAAGAATCACAGAACATGTTGGCTAACGGAAGCCTAGCTAAATTCAGTGTCTGGTATACGGAGCAAGTACGCGGTGAATGTGCGAAACAAATAGACGTTAAAAACTCAAGTGCAACCGCATCATTACACTTAAAGATGGCGGCCGGTGGCAAGCCAAGGAAGAACTTTCAAGGTCGACTGCAGTTAGTTACCCAAACTATCTCAGAAGGGATTTTTGGGGGCCAGTTTACTTTTGGAGCCTATAAAGAAATAAATGTCTCTTGTGTCTTCAAGTCGACGTCCATTGGAAAATCTGGCTCCAACTACTCGTCAGGGCGAATTACCTTCCCCACTTTGCAATCCGTTCTGTACTTTGTTGAACGTGTGGCAAACTACCGTTAGCCGAATACAACTTTTCTGACTCTTTTGAGGACGGAAAAAGATACTCGTTTATCTGTTGGTGTCACTAGTACATCTGGAAGTCTCTCCTCTGCTAAGTCTGCAAACGACAACGAACTGATTGTTACCGATGAGTGGCTCGCCGTTGCTATAATCATTTGGATTATGGTTCTTTTGTATTTCCATGCTATATTTATCTTCTTCCGACCGTCAGAAATCGAACTGAAGGTTCCTCGAAAGACACGAAAGGTACAAGAAGACATACGTACTACCGATAGAGCAGTTGAGCAAACAGATTCTGCACGTAGGTTAAGTGTACGTGTGCCTATTCAAGAGACCGGAGATATTAAGATCGAACCTTCACAATCTAACAGAAACACCGAGGAACAGAGTGCTGCTAACAGCCTAAATGATGTTGAACTAGCGAGTACTTCACAATCTAACAGGAACATTGAAGAAACGAGTGCAGCTAACAGCCTAAATGATGCTGAACTAGCGAGTACTTCACAATCTAACAGGAACATTGAAGAAACGAGTGCAGCTAACAGCCTAGATGATGCTGAACTAGCGAATACTTCACAATCTAACAGAAACATTGAGGAACAGAGTGCTGCTAACAGCCTAAATGATGCTGAACTAGCGAGTACTTCACAATCTAACAGAAATATTGAAGAACCAAGTGCAGCTAACAGCCTTAATGAAGTTGAACTAGCAAGTAGTTCACAATCTAACAGAAACATTGAAGAACCGAGTGCAGTTAACAGCGTAAATGATGCCGAACAACCGAATACTTCACAATCTAACAGAAATATTGAGGAACAGAGTGCTGCTAACAGCCGAAATGATGCTGAACTAGCGAGTAGTTCACAATCTAACAGAAACATTGAAGAACCGAGTGCAGCTAACAGCCTTAATGATGCTGAACTAGCGAGTAGTTCACAATCTAACAGAAACATTGAGGAACAGAGTGCTGCTAACAGCCTAAATGAAACACGTGTTGATATTGACCAGTCTAATGAAGAAGAAGACGAGGAAGAAACCCAGAAACCCATAAGAAACCCTCTCGCTATTATCGTAGGAGAAACTTACCCTGTAGGGTTTGGAAGTTGGATTGGCAACAAGCTGTTTTCCACCACCCACGAAAGAAACATTGCTTGGAATATTATTAAGTTCATTTTTATGTTTTCTACCTTACCATTGTTGCTTTTCCTAGGTTTGGGAGACCTCTTTTTAGTCCTTTTACCAAACCTTCATTCAGGATTATCCGATCATTTGCCATTTGCTTTTCTCACTCGCTCATTGGGTTACAGTATTATTGATAACCATCCCTATTTACTAGATCCAATTACGGTAATTTCGGCCCTTGCCTATCTTATTAGGCTGTTTTGTTTATGTTTCCTTTCGCGCAGTGCACTCGAGGCAAAATGGCAGTCGTGCTCTGTTCATCGAGTTCATCCAACATGGTTTGTTTGCAAACTTCTTCAATATTTTTTCTCAGAGCTACCTTCGTCCTTAAAACCCTCTGAAAATTGTTATAACCCTGCGCCACCAGAATGTTCCAAGTACCTTGACCTTCCAGAGAACATCGCACATAATCTGGAAAAGCAGCCAGATATTTTCATTAAATGCTGGGAATGTTGTTCACACTTTTGGAAAAGAAAGAGCAATTGCAGTTCTAAAGGTTTTTTCTTTTCACTGGCTGTTGTTGTATCCTTAATACTAATAATCATTATTTTTATTATCATAGGCATTTTCTGTACGTCTCCTCTAGTTTGTTTATACCATGGGCGCTTGCGGTTGGTTAGTAGAGTCTTCGAGTCTATACTCATGTTTTTCTCTCTGGTTTGGGTAACAATTTTGTCGCTTCTTTGCGCCATCCCTTTGGGAGTCGCCATAATAGGGCTGATCAAAGTACTAGGGAGTCATACTAACGAAATGCTTCCACAGGTTACGATTGCAGTTGTTGCTCTCTATCACTTTTGGAATTGCTACAAGGCCTTCAGGACGCCATATCGTTATGTGGCCAAATTTCTAGCCTCGAGATACCAAAAGAAATACGACGAACAAGAAAACGGTTCTGAAGTAAATTCACTAATCCATTACAAACAGGGAGACTTAAAAGTAATTCCAAAAGAGCTATTCGATGATGGATGCAAAGAATTCAAATTATCCATCAAAAACGACGTCGCATTGCTGCTTTTTAAGTTAGTTTGTACACTTTCAGCGTTTTGTTTTTTCTTCCCCGTCCCTGGCCCTGGTTCTACGAGCGCAATAATTGCCTTTCTTGCGGTGGCTTATGGACCGATCAAAACGTAATTATGCATGACTAGTCGATAATCTAAATCCATTTGTAGGCTTAATTAGTTTAGTCGGTTACACATTGTTTTGATTCTGAGCAAGAGAAAATGAGGGGACTCATTTTCTCTTGTTCTGAGTGAATAAAGAAGAGTACGATTTTCAGAATGGTTATCAGTGTCTAGCGGTTATATAGCGAGAGAGTGTGGAAGAAGTATTTGCTTGAGAACTTGTCAATACAAACTTGAACCTCAAACTCATCATGCAGTGATTAGCAATAACGTTAGTTTATTATGATGTCTAAGCTTTTGGTAAAAATGAAGTCTATAAACGTATTCGGCATTAGACCTTTATTCTTCCATTTCGCAATCAGACATGTTTCCATCGAGCTCTTGGTTGCTAAGCCTCAGTAATCGCTGAACCAGGGTCGCAGCTCATCAGGTGGGTGGTTGCAACTTTGAAGGGTGCGGGCTTCTTAGAGAAGCCGTCATACCCCAGTTCCCTACCCCACCACCCCGTTCCCCTCGTCGCCAACCAAAAATGCGGTTTTTTTGTTGAACGAGAAAATATCACATGATTCACCTCAAAGCTGTGTTTCTCGGCTACAGCGGGGGTGGGGACAAACCCAAAAACTCATTGGGGTGACAACAGCTCTCTCATACAATCAAAAGACGTGCGTCTCGATCGCTATATATTGGCCTCTTCCGGGCGTTCATTTCCCAACTAACTGAACACCTGGAAGAGGCTAGATCGCAGCACATACAACAGAAGCCAACGTGAAGCGATTTCGAAGGACAAAATTCATTATATTATTATGAATTAAAAACTTGGGACTTAACAGTTCAGTAAACTGCGAAATCGTCATTATATACTGGCACAAATTTTAAACCTACCAATTCAAATTTGCACTGCCCACGCACTCAGTCATCACGATACACACCGGTCCCCCTCAGTGCCCAACTGAGTCAGCCTTATAATCTCAGAAAAATTAAAGGGACTCGTAAGGAACATAAAGGGTTGACAGGGAATCAGAAGGGCTGCAACATGTCGCTCTTCAAGGGCGCAAGTGGTAACGAAAGAGCTAAAACGGTGCATGTGTTACAAAATATCGCATGTTATGGCACGACGAGTTAATTCAGAGGGCCAGTAACTAATATCGACCAGTCAGGTTACTTCATTGCGGTTCCAATATTTTCTGAGTATTGAAAAGGGCACTGTGTCCGCAGTCACTGTGTCACTGTGTCACTGCGCTCAGTCCGTAAGGTCAAAACTTTGGGTTTGTATTCTTCCCGTAGTTATGACAAATGTATCACAAGTTATCACAAAACATCAGCGGTGTTTCAAGTTATAACTGAGACAATACTTATAATCGCATCATCACAAAGTGTATGTAGTATATTTTTAATTTAAGCTTACATTCACACAGTATGATTATCGATCACAAGGTTATCACAAGGTAACATACGTTTTTTTGTGCCTTAAATAATCACCTCTGAGTAATCTCTGACCAAATTTACGTTGTGAAATAATTGACAAATTAAAGTATAAGATGTAAACAAGTAAGTAAACGAATAACAAACAATTTCTCATATTTTTAAGCTATCGTGACAACTTTTACACTATGTGATATACCTTGTGAAGCATTGTGAGAGTTTTTGATATTTTATTTACTCGTCGGTAGGAACGACTGAGCTGTGCTTTTGCACGTTTTAGTGCCCCCAAAATTTGTCAAATTGTAATACCTATTGAGAATTACAAAATGTGGAACCAAATCGCCCTGACATGTTCTTTCTTGCTCTAATAACAGTTTTAAATCGGTCGAATATTTAAATTTCACTAGTAAACAGCGATATCCGGCCATGATTTTGTGTGGCCTGAGTTTTTCCTGTTTAAACATCACGAATTGAAATAGCGCTGAATATATTATCCTAGCCGTTCAAGGCTGTTCAATGGTTTTGTTTGTTTTGTCGCCCACAGTGTTTGCCTTTGCCCGTCATTGACCATGTTACCAATGGCGACAGCGGTTTTGCGTGTAAACAAATCGGGCCAAACCTCCCCACAAAGGACTTCTGCATTAGCACGTGACATGGGTTGATCCAATGATGTTAGCGGAAAACTTTACGTGATAGCTCATCTGCTCGCAAAATTTTCCTCGGTGGGTGATTTACGATGCCGATTTTAATGTCGTCACGTTGTGTCCATGGTCTTTAGTCCCGTAATTTCTCATACACACTGCATTGCGCATACAGAATAGGTTACATCAATCATGGGCTGTTGTGGGAAAAACAGCGACGATGAAAGGACAGATAATGTTGAGATGAAAGGAGGCGCCAAAGGCAAAGGTGGAAAAGCGGGAAAGTGGGGTAAGTTTTGTTCTCAAGAAACGTATATAACAAACCTTATATAACTTAACTTTTATTCATTATTTGTCAGGATAAAACCTTCCAAATGGAAGCTGATAATGATGTATTGGTTGTTTTATGGCTTCAATTTTAATGTGGTGGAGGAAATGACCTGTAAACGTAAGTTTATAAGGTCCCGTCGAAGCTTAGCTTTAGCTCAAATGCCCGGGCTAATGCTCGTTTTTGCTTTGCCATCATTAGAATTTGTTTTCAAACGAATCATATCTTTAATTTAACGAATCATGCCTTTAATTTGCCAGTTTCGTTACTCGCCGCAGTTTGAGCGTAATTTCAATTCTGCACTGTGAAATTTGATTCCCAGCATCCAATAACTTCCTTGTTTTCATGTTCCTCGTTTCATTTGGTAAAACAAACACAATATTAAACTAAACGAAAGCGCGGAGTCACATTCGATCTTAATTTTCTGCTCCCCTTGGCTTATAAATAAGCTTGTGTCTAATACAATTAGACAATTGCTGTTTTAAAAATGTGACTACTAAAGGAGTTGTAAGGAAATAGGCATAAAACGAACGCATCGCAAGAAAGCTCATAACATTACAAGTAGGTGGTTATTTATCAACGTTAAGCAGCCACTCGCACTTGCAATTAGCGTCTAAAGAGAGATTCTCAGAATTGTGAATTTGGATTTGAAGTTGCCAGAATTTGAGCTTCATATAAATATGCTGAAATATGTTTTAAGTGCATCCCAAATTATCCCAGACTTGTGTTATTGAAGAGGCATAGATACCTATGATGCCTAAGAAATAGTGCAATCCTTGGCCATTTAGGATGCTTAACATATATTATTAATCCATTTGCCACTTTAAAAAGGAGCAGAAATCTGGAGCAAGTCTCATCTGGCAGTTGCTTGTTGGACCATCACTAAGGGCATATGGCTTTTCGTATTTCGTTTTGTCCGCAGTAAGCACTTCATCAGCAACTGTGGGATGAGACTTGCCCCAAGTGTAAAAAAGTAAAAGAAAAGTACGTAAAAAAATAATAATAATAAATTGGCAAGTGGAATGAAGGAACCTGGAGTATTGATTTAATTATGTTACTAGCCCAAGATGAGCAAATGCAATTACTTTTTATTTCACAAATAAAGAAGCCTAAGCCATCTATTACACAATTGTGGTGCTATATTTGTAACTCTTTAATAATCTATTGAAAATATTTTCAGGAAATCCAAAACAATTTGATCCAACATTTAATGGACCAATCAAAGACAGGTGATTGTAGAAAACTAATTTCTTTACAAATAATGCTAGTAACATTTGCTCTGACTTGCTGGTAGTGTACCTGAGCTATTCAACATGGGACAAGCCAAGCAAGTGAAATAAGTACAGTGTAACCCCGTTAATCCGGTCACCAACAGGCCGCAAAGATCTGGCTGTATTAATGGGGTGGCCTTATTAAAGGGCATCTTTAAATAAGAAAATGACTGACTGAGCTTTTGTTTGGGCCAGAATAAATTGGCTGCATTAACTAGGTGGCAGTATTAACGGGGTGGCCGGGTTAATGGGGTGGTTTTTAGGTGGGGTTCCACTGCAGGAATGTAATGGTGACACAGTTATATTGCAGAAGGAAAACTGATCATGCACAATACAGTACAGAGAGTAAATACTGAACATGCTGAAGACACTAAGTAAATACATGTACTTCAACAATCTAACAACAAAACAACAAAAACTTATATTTCACCTCAGAGTTAGAAATTACAATGTTTGCTAGCCGGAGTAAAAATAAAAATGATATGGGTGCTGGCTACCTGAAAGAACTTAAGAGTTAAATGGTAGATACATGTAGTGAGTTAGGAGTTCGGAGACATCTTCAACAAAGTCATCTTAAGAACTTGCGACATACAGTATCAACAAGTGTCGAGTGTTGTTATTGTTGGGTTTCTGGAATGGTAGCATACATACATGTATGTAATTCATGAACAAGGATTATTGCACAGATACATTATTACTAACTAATTACATTTTACTGTATTACATGCTTGACCTAAGTTTACAATTTTCATCCTTTTAGGAGTTGTACTGACTGGATCTGTTGTATTCTCTTTGTCCTTTATGTGGTTGGAATGGTAGTCTTGGGCATTGTAGGTAAGTTGTTCTTAGGCTGTTTCGGATTAATCTTTGTCTAAACACGGAGACAGACACATGCATGGTTGGGATCAGGCAGTTTATTGAGTATACAATTTACAAATCTATAATTAATATATATTTACAATCATGTAGGTAGATGACTATCAGACCACAAGGAAATACGACATCTACTACACTGAACTAGACATGATTGAGACAATCATTAACACAAACATAAAGTGGGAATGTTGTAAATATAAAACTACTAGCTGATTGCTGTATACAGTAGCTGACTGTTGTGATCACTAGATATGCATAAGTGCCCTAAAATCTTAACGGCTTTCCGTAGAATTTTACAATTAGTTGTGTAATCACGTGAATGCAGAAATACTATTGAACATGACTCTCATGCTAAATCATTGCTCAATGTCCCTGCAAGATCCCAAGATGCCTGGTCAATCTCCTCTGTCTAGATTTATATTTATTTAACAGTATTAATATTTATTAATATTCACTTAAACAAAGCTTACGTTTTTACTTGGGCTTCTGTAGGAAAGCCCGAGTCATAAAATGCAAGCCGTTCTCCTTCTTCTTTGTCCTCGTTGTCATCGTCGTAGTTGGTTGCCAAATGGGGGGTCATAGTCCCAGGCATTCCAAGTGTAGAGGATGGGAACTGGGGATAAGAATTCGAAAGCTTGCTATATGGAAGGCCTTTCTTTCTTCAGTGACTTTTCGCGACTGATTGTCAGAATCTTGAAATTCAGTTGTTGGCAGAAACAAAATAAAGTTTACTTCTTAAATTAAAAAAAAAGAGAAAAAAAAAAACGCAGGGGAAAGTCATCTCAACATGCAGATACCGGAAGTGGAACCCGGGTCACTTGATTCAGGATGCATTCATTCAACCACTACACCATCGAAATGCCAGCTGAGGAGAATTTGGATTTTGTAACTATAGATACTGTAAGCCTAAATATATTTGTAATACAGTGTCACCCAAACCCCAAAGTGAAAGCTAACCTCAAGCAAACCCGAGTGGAACTAATGGCAAACCAGGATGCAAGTAACCGCAAGCAGACATAAGTGGTTTAACCATGTATAGTGTACGTACGTGGTCTCATTCATTGTTAATTTATACAAAAAGCCACAAAATGTCACAGAAGGAAGAACTTAGGCCTTTCCGTGACTACCTGCTTTATTGTGTGCTCTAACACCCATGTGTTAACACAACTCTTGTGTTAAAATATTCTGATTCTTTTATTTGTCTTTACTGTGTTCAATCGGCTTAGTTGTAAAGTACGATTTGATATTGCGGTATGAGTAAACTCTCTGAGAGCATCTACTCATAAATTAAAAGTCTGCTATCCTGATTTTTAGGTTGTCACATTGCTATAGTAAAACCTTAATTAACATATTTTGTGCACAATATTGTATAGAGTTTGATATGATTTATTATGAAAATTCGTATTGCAGCTTATGTAAAAGGCAACCCTTACAAACTTCTAAATTCAGTTGATTCTGAGGGTAAGTTTTTCATTTTTGCAAACTAAAAAATATTTCTGCTATCGAACTGAAAAAATTTGGAAGCCGTGTAAAACAAAATTGTGTTGTGAGCAAAAATTATGTACAAGTTTGTATCTAACAGTATCGGTTTAGTAATGTACTTGTATGTAGAGTGCTGTAGTACATTCCTTGTTAGTGTGATTAAATTTTAATGTATGCTGTAAATTGATTGGCATTATATTTTATCTGATTTATAGTGATTACATACATCCTAGCTACTCTGGGATGGGTAACGACAATATGTTAATTTAGAGAGTCTCATAGTCTCAGTGTTTTTTTTCCATATATAGTATGTTACCATAACACTGGAGCTTATACCGGTTTCTGTACCATGAAACAACTAACTAGGACTATTTCTACCCTCACACCCCCTAGTTGGAATGGTAAATTGTTGTTCATCCCAGAGCATATTCCTGTAACTTTTAGTACTATTGTCACTCATTCTTCTTTGTCACAGAATGTTCCAACCAAAACTTAACTAAAATTTGTCTAGATAATTCCATCATTATTTTAATTATTTTTGGCAACTACATGTTTAATGTATTATTGATCAAGCAATAACACATTTCACAACACACTTAAAGTGTACCCTAGTGTACTTGTTCNCTTGGCGCGGGGGCTCATGGCTTGGTTGTGGGTTGGGCAGGCCAGTTGGGTGTTCTAGCACCTTGGGGATGTGACTGCGGTTGCAGCCCCTGGGCTTCGTAGGCACCTTCCCTCCACTAGCGACTTGGGTGTTAATTGTTTATTGCATTGTTCAGGCTTTGTTTAATTCCCAATAATTTTAGTTAACTGTTGGGAAACAGATTGTATAAAATGTAAGCTTAACTTAAATTACTTCAACTTCAAGACATTCATTTAGTACATCTTGGTCAGTTTATGTTCTGGTTAAACTCATCGCCAATAGACGAGCTTGGGGATGGTGCCTGTTAGAGTGGGTGGCGGTTCCAGGGCGAGCAGTGAGCCTTGAGCATTGAACCTTGAGCAGGGCACACAGGTATCCATGGCAACTCTGCGAGCAGCAACCACCCACCAGACACCGTCACACTGACCAAGTCAGTGGAGATACTTACCAACCCAATACTTACCAAATCCACCAATGAGGGAGGAAGAAAAAGCAGAACAAACGTACTGTTCGGCACTCAAAACAAACTGCACAACCTCACACGGCTGGAATGCACAACACATGCGATTCGAGAAACCCTGTATGTCACATCAAGGCACATGACTCCCTGACCACCGCCAACCAGCATTGGCTTGATTTTAACGTAGCCTAAATTACATGTAGCTACATTTTAAAAACTCTCTTCTCCCTCAAAAATTTGTTAACATATTCACAACAAACAACCAAGTTATCCATGGTTACAACACAAGGCAAGCACACTTCTTTCATCTACCATTATGTGGAACTAAAATCCTTTAATTCTCTATTTTCTGTCAATATTTTAAACTCTCTTCCTCTTGAGATCACTGGCTCTTCATCTCTTGCATCCTTTAGGAAAAATCTTAAAACATCTGTTATTAGCAATTACTACTTCTTTTGAGTGAACAAATATGGCTTGTCAATATGTCATTTACTATAGTAATGTATAGTTTTAGTCATCTTGTATTTCTTGGAAGGGAACCATAAGTTTACAAGCCCCTTGGTTTTTATTATGTTCCCTTGACATTTTTTTTTCTATTTTTTGCATACTTATAATTTTAACTTCTTTGTATCTTTTTTTATGGCAATTAAAAATGAAATAGAAATAAATTAATTAATTAACTGTGTATTTTCTTGTAGGGATCGACCCAAACTTGTTTTCTTTGACTTAACGGAATGTATTTCTACACTCACACAAGTTTCAACTAACCTGTTTGGGGCATCCTGTCCTACAAAACAGGTGATATGACTATATAAAATTTAATACATACATGTAGATAAATTTGTAATGTGCTCTGTTTTCATGTGTGTATTCTAAGTTGGCTGGCAACAGTTTCCAGCAGTTTTTTAACAGCCACACTTTGACAGATCAATATATGTGTACTTCCACTTTTTAACAACTGATGGTACCGCACCAATGCCCAGCTATTGTGAACCAATAATGGTAATCTTTAAGGCATGATGAGTTACCATTTCATCATGTTAAAAATGCCCTTAATTTTAGCTTTACGTACTTATAACTCAAAAACGAGCTCAATGACCCCCATTTTCTTATTTTGAATAATTTGTGATTAGCATGATCAGATGCAACTATTTGCAAAGTTAAAAAATTCAATTTAGGGGATACTGAGCAACTACTCAAAAATATAGTTTTCAGATCATGATAATGTATGTGTACTACCCAAAGGAAAAAAAGATTTGTTTAAAAAATTTCAATCCCCACCCCCCACAACAACAAAAAAACAAAAAAAGTACAAAATTTTGTTAAAAATAATTGATGTCAGAAGTTTTTAAATTGTTTTTTCTCAGAACTACTGTATGTACATAATTAAAACTTAAAAGATTTCTCACTTGGTCTAGTCTGGGCTTTTCCAGGCTGGAGATAGTGGATAACTCTATATGATCAATTTGGTAATAAGAATAAATTTGTTTCACATGTACTTGGAAGCTGATCTTTCCAAGCTAGAGATGACGTTGAACTCTGCCCAGGTCAATTTAATTTAATGTGTGTGTCCCACAGTTAACCTGTTCACCAATAGGTTCTCATTATCATCAATTCTCCTCAATCATTTCATGCAAAAGGCCTCAGTCGTTTGGCAGGGTCTTATCTGTTATTTGTAATTTTAGTTTGTAGTTAAATGTATGTCTTATCAGTGATTTTGCTCTTTTCAGCTTTGTGCAAAGAAGTGTCCAGAAAGGAATGCCTTGGGATTCAGATATGACAACACATCAGACCTTGTGTGCGATTATGATATTGATTTCACCAATTTTTCTCCGACTGAAGAGGTAAATGATTTATTTTAATGCATTAGTCACATACATCCATACACATGTTACACTGTGTTGTAGTAGGAGGCCTTAGACTTTGAAATCTGAAACTTCACACTTCAGCTAGCTAGCAGCTTCAGAAGCAGCAAGTTATTATGCACTTGATACCGTCCCTTGCAACTGCGTATCCACACATGTGACAAAAACATGTTCTGCCGGCCAATCAAAATTCAAAGTTTTGACGATCAAACTTCAAAGTTTACCTGCCCACTTGGGAACGTTTTGGCACCACTCCACAAACAGTTGAAGGGAAGCAAAGTCAGCAATTCGTATGGGCATTTTGTCTTTTACAGTTTTGCAAATCAGAATGAATGATAGAAAATCAGTAGAGGAATTTCTGTCGGATATTGACTGTGATCTTTTACAATATGCAGGGCAATTAAGAAAGAAAGGGTTCACCTCAACATTGTCTGCATGGTATCTGGCAGAAAAAGATCTTTGTTTTCTCCCTGAAGGTCACAAAAGACTAGTCTTGAACATGATTGCTCAGCTAAAAATGCCTGAGAGAGTAAAAAGCAGCTTGAAGCGTCAAACATTTACAATGTCAACACAGCAGTTACAAAGCCCTGAATCAAATTTGGTTTTGAAGCTGTATTACCGAACTCTCTGAATTGTTCGACAACTTTTGATACTGTCTTCACATCTACGCCCAGCCTTCTTCCAACTTCCCTATACGAATGAAGTTGTGTGAGTTCTATCACTTGGTTTCGTAAATCGCTCGGCAGTGGTACACCTTGCTTGAAATTCCTACCTAGCTTATTTATTGTAAATGCCATGTCTTGTCAAATGGCAGATAAATCAGCTATGATCATTTGTGCAACTGGAGCCAAAACGTTCCCTAGTGGGCGGGTTACAAACTTTGAAGTTTGGTTGTCAAAACTTTGAATTTTTAGTGGCTGGCAGAACATGTTTTTGTCACGAACGTGGACAGGTAGTTGCAAGTGACGGTACATGTCAAAATATATAGAGTAAGCTGATTAACCTTTCTTTAAAAGAAGATGACTTTGGCTTTCTCGATCTCGACTATTGTTACACAAGCAGATGCAGACTGACATTTCACTGGCAAGTACACCAGTGTATATTATAACATGCATTTTCAAACAGTTAGTCTCATGCCTTGGTAGTCTCATCTCATTACTGTGGGCAAGATATAGGAAAACACCTAAAAATTACATGTCATTTGTATAGCTGTGGAATAATTGAGGGACTGCAATACGTATATATAAACAATGGGATGTATGTTTTGTATTTTCCGCAAAAGAAGCCACATTTTGCCATGGATGTGAAAATAACAATGCTTGGACCATAATATGGTCGATAATGTGGTTGATATATTATATGTTATATCGACAATTCTGATTTGCCAAATCAAAGAAGAGGATTGTTTGCATTGCACCAATAGGCAATTATTTGAGAATGAATACTAACACTAGGGCGCAGACTTGCAAAAAACACCTTGTACTTTGATTGTTTACAATATTGAAGATTGCAGAAAGTTTTCTAGGCTCTCTTAAAGGGCAATCATCAGTCGTGAAATGATGTATAGAACTATAATGAACTTTTTTTGGTTAAATTGTGAATCAATGATTGGTTTTGTTAAAATCATGCAATTTTTTATGAATTATGAGATTTTTCATGAATTCTGTGACTGGATGTACGATTTGAGGTCGATTGTGCTAAATTGCATCATTGCATAATATCAGAATGCCTGACATGTGCTTTATTGCTTTCATTAAATGTATCTTATGTGTTTACTTGTCTTTAATGTGTTGTTGTCCAGTCTTGTTAGAAAAAGGAAAGAATTACCAAAGAAAGAATTTCAATAGTAAAGTAAAGTGCATTTAAAAACATTAAATGTGATTTCTTTGCTAGTAAATTTTATTTTTCACAAATATGCAAAAATGTTCATGACAAAATTTCAACCTTGGGTTTTAATTTATTCTTAGTAACATAATCTTAAAGATTTTCTCATTTTATCCTCGATATTCTTGTAAAAAGTTTTCTTACAAAAAAATAGAATTTGTTTGAGTCCTTCCTTTGTCAATGGAGAGTTAATATATGTTTCATGCTGCACAAACAGGAGTTACTTCAGTATATCAGGGATAAGAGATGTGCTCCATATTACCTTGAGAGTTCTGATGGTATGTTATTTTATGTTATTTGCATTTATGTGCTTATTTGTTCATTCTCTGTTTTATTCCAAACTACCATCATCTTCATGCTTCATCTCCTTTATGAATGCTTAGAGCATTATTGCTTTTTTAGTATCTTTTTGGTCAAAATATACACTACATTTTAACTTATTATTTATCTTTGTAATAATATTAATAAAGAGTGAGTCTGACACCACATATTAAATTATCAAATTGTTGCTAACAATCTTTTATCATGGTGTAGTCAAATTATGTAGTGTTATTCAACATTATTTACTTTTTAGGATGTGCAATGTGCACTTTTGACTGGATGAGAAAAGGCACTGTAGAATATATTCTTACAGGGTGCAGGGAAAAAATTTAAAATTGCTTGGGGAAAAACCTTGATTGTGTGGGAAATTGTGTTGGATTGGTAGTCTTGTGATGAACCAAATTTCAATTTGAAACAAGTTTGTGTTCTTGCTAAGTCACTAGTAGTTCAAATACACCCAGCAGTTGCCAATTGTTTTAGCAAACTGTGTAGACGGTCTGACTGATTCTGTCTTAGAAACAAAATCATGTTGCATGGCACGACTAAACTTGATGTATTTGAAACCAAAACAGAATGTCATAGTTAACAAAAGTAAATTTCCTCCAATATAAATGAGTTCCTTCTCAAGAATATTCCTCTTATTTGTTTAAAAATTTCAGTAAAATTATGTAGCTTGAATATTTCTTCATAAACTGTGTTAAGGTCCTCAAATTCTCGAAAGTTATTGCAAAAGAAAAAAAAAACACAAGAGGTTATGCAAATTAGTGCATGCAAATGTAATTTGATGCCTTGTTATTATATTCGCTCAAGCACTTCAATAGACAAAAAGTGAGAGATTTTGGTAAGCTTAGAATTGTTTACCACGCTATATTAGAAATAAGTGATCATTGAAAATGGACAAACGTAGGGATGAATAATTCTTTAGACAATGTAATTTCTTGTTTAGCAAATAATTAACATTATTTTCTCTTATGTTTGATTAGTCCTTAATCGCTGCGTACCTACAGTTGTGGGTAATTTGGTGTCCAACTTGGGGGAGAGCTTACAAAGTGCAGATGGAACAAATATCACTAGTGCAGATGTTGAGGAGGGATCTTTGTAAGTTTTAAGCATTTTGACAGTTCCAAACTGGAAAACAATCCAGTAACTATATTTTAAAATGAAACTGCATACAGTGTAGTGTAACATGATTAAAAAAATACTATTTGAAGTTGTTATTTTTTCTTAATTTAGAGCTGTTCAAGCACTGCTCAATCTCCAGAACCTGGGTAAAAAGGTTAGAAATTATATTAATATAATTGGCCATTTGTTTTATTGTAAACTATATTTATCTTGATTTGCAAAGTCTCTGTGATAATAACAAATCTATCGCCTTATATAGATTATTCAAGATGTGCAGGCATCATGGTACTGGATTTTAGCGTAAGGAATGCAACTTTTATACAGATTCATGTTTGTCGTATGATTCCTTTAAATGTATGTTAATTTATTTAGTGTCTGCAAGGGTTGTATTATCCTGTAACTACTACGACTCAGTGTTCTAACTATAGAATATTGTTAGCATATATAGGCTCCCAACTCGTAACTGTGAACAAAGCCCATGATGAAACGTTTCAAACTCTTTTGTAACTGGTGATGATGTGAGGTACATCACTGCTTGTCTTACTGATTAAAAACAGTTTCCTCTTTCTTAGATGGTAAATTTAGCATTGTTATTTGCTGTTTTATTACTTTCCAACAGAGCCATGGGAATTGCCATGGTAGCTTCTTTCTTGTTCATCTTTGTAATGAGGTAAGTTTAATGTACTATGTACAGTAGATTGCATATTAACTATTTATGATAAGCACAGCTGTGCTTACAAAATGTAGCAGTTTTCAGTCATGAAAAGTTTGATCTTTTTTTTGTGGAGGAATATGGTATATATGTTCTTGTGTTCCAAGGTGCTGCAGTTACAGATAGGATGCATTGTAGATTGACAATACTTATTAACATTGATTGTGAGTATTTGTTGTTATATTACAGATGGATTGCTGGACTTTTGGTGTGGGTCACCATTTACGCTGTACTGACTTCTATTGGTTTCTGTAAGTTCAAAATTATTTTTTTGGCAAAATTGCAAAAATAGTGTCTGAGCAGTTTTATTTTTGGCAGACATATTTGCTGGTGTTTCCTCTAGATCTAGAAGGCTGCAGAGTCAGAGAATAGTTTAATTAATGGAAAGTACATAAAGTCAAGGCAAATATATTAAAACTTATGGAGAAACAAAGTTGGTCTATAAAGCCACACATACAGGTATATATATGCAGTCAAGGTCCTTAGAAAGCCAATTTTCTGTAGTAAATGCAGACTAAGGGTTATGATTGGCTATGACTATGATTGGTCCTTAACTGTAGTGGTAGGGGGAGTTGAAAAGAAAGAAAAGTTAACGAGAGGTTTATATTAAAAAGAGAGTGCCAGAAGAAATCATTATAATGCGGTGATGTAATATGCTATATTTGTAGCTATATACTACTCTTGGACAAAGTACAAGGAACTATCGTCTAACTCTGGTAACACCACAAGCACAGTCCTGTCGGTAGCCACTGGCCTTGACACCTATGTTAACAATGAAAGAACTTGGTACTGGCTGAGTAAGTATGGCTTCTTGTCTTCATGGTGTCAAAACATCCTTGCTTTTTATTCTCTTTTGTTGGAATTTGATTTGCTGCCTGGTATGCAAGTTATAGACTTTTGTTTTGAATTTATTTAGTTACTTGTGAAATGACACTTTGCCCTGTCCTTTGCAGAAAGGCCTAGACAACATTTGGTCCTCTACGTCTGGGCAAAATACTACAGAACTTGGCCCTAAGGTCTATAATAGGGCAACAGAACTTTGAGTGTTGCCAGATTTTCTCTGTGCAATGGGATGCCACTTGTAGATTTGCCCTGAAAAAACTTTAGAACAATTAGTTAACACATAACTATGTATTTTTGGTGTGGTGTGGTGTATGATTAACAATTCTTTATGGATTATGTAATCTCTGTTTCTTATCTTGTAGCCATTATTCTTGGTGTAATCTTGGCAATTCTGGTGTTGATTCTGCTTGCTCTGTACAAGAGGATCTCCATTGCAATTGCGATTATCAAAGAGGGTGGCAGGTAATTTCGAGACTACTGGCCTTCAAATGAAAGATAAAAAATGTTAAAGAGATAAGCACTATTTAAACAGAATGGTATACCTTTGTGGTGACTGTGATTATAAGGTCAGTGTCTGTCTTTTCCTCTCTGCCTGTCAGTTTCTATACTTTCATTGTATCCCCCGTCCCCCGTCCCCTGTCCCCCTCCCCCCTCCCCCCATACCAAGAGTGCCCTTTTGTCCCCACTATGACTATTACTTGAAGATAGTTTTGCAGTCAAACAGCAAAACCAACAGGTGCGTATTCAGTACAGTTTTTTTTTCTGTAGTAATAATGAAAAGGTGACTATCATGGAGGGTGTAATTAATATTTTCTTTCCTGATGAAGTTTGTTTTTAAACTCTTCTTCTTTTAGGGCTGTATCTGCAATACCATTTTCCTTGTTCTTTCCTGTTATCCCGTGGCTGCTGCAGCTCATTTTGTTTGCATGGTTTGTTAGCGTCCTAGCGTATCCTTTGCCATTTGAAATACATTGTTACTCAGGGAAACATGGTATATTTTTATTTTAAACTTACATGTAACCATATGCCTCCATCTTTCCCTTCCTACCTACTGTCTGACTGACCAACCTATCTTGGTACCTAGCTACCTAGTTACATGCACATGTAGCTAAGTAGCAGCTACCTACTTACAGTGTACCTACCCACCAACCCATCCATCCACCTACTTAGCCACCCACACACCCACCTTCCTATAATTACTCAGCCAACTGAGGGGTTTCATTGACATTTTAAGCAGGAGGGCAGGTGGTTTTCATAGGCGGGCCAAACGTTTTGAACTGAACTTCTTTCTAAGAAAAACTTTCCTCTAGAGGTTCAAACCTGGAAGGCAAAATCATCCTCACAGTCGGTCAATTTGCCCAGTGCCCGGCCCTTAATGAAACCCCTCCCAATGCACCATAAACCCAGCTAGCTACCTATTGTGCAGTTGTTTCCTTAACATTGTAAGCTTCCTGGTTACTGCTGGTGACCCTGAGTTTCAAGTTGTTTCTAATGACACAGATAATGGTCAACTGTGTACTCAAGTAAGTGTTGTCAATATTGATACTCTGGGATGAGTGGTTTGAATGCTGATTGACACCAGTCTAGGGCTACTAGTTAATCAAGATCTTTGCTTCTCTTAGACTTGCCTTTGGAATTAGGAGAACATGCAACTTAATCCTGTCTCAAATCCTCTTTCTTGATTTTGCCCCATCCAAAGGGTATATTCAAAGGGACTGCCTAAGCTTGAACATTCGCTAATAAAATTATTGTCTTTTAATAACGTTAACTGTGGTGACTCCTTCAATGTTAGCTGTGGAAACAGCTAAATTTCTTGCTAATCGAAGGTATCAAAGGCCCTATAATAATCTTTGATCACCTCTAGTGCAAAAGTGGTAATGGTTTGTAAAGTTGATATAAGTGGAAGTCAAAACTGAAGGATAAAAAATCATACTGTAAAGTAACAAATTAAAGCTTCGGTCAAAATTCAAGCCTTGATCATACTTTGACTAACCAAGCCCTGATGTTTTGTTGGTGGCTGTTGTTTTTGTTCTGTGATGTTCTTATTCTTTGTTAACTTGTTTGGATCTCGACTAATTACTCTTCTATTGTGATCATTTATTTTAGGCAATAAAAGATGCAATTGACAAAGTGGGAAACAGCAACAAAACATGTAATTTTGTGGACTTTGCAAATGAAGAGTGAGTAACAAATTTAATTACAAAAGCACTACTTGGATAAAGTCAAACTAGGTAAAAATTTTGATTGTAAATCTTAATTTTGTAAATTTGTGTTGAGCTTTTCTGTATATAGTTTGGCCTTCTCTTTTGAGTTTGAATAATCTCAAAATACTCAAAACAAAAGCAGTAAAAAACATTTGTATACAAAAAAATTTATACTTCGGTTAACTTTAAATCCTGGGTTAGCATTAACCCGGCTCTGATTACAGCAAGTTAACCTGACATGAGCCAGCGATCCAGCTGAAAACAAGTACTTGGTCAGCGGTGACCTCAATGAGTTCGAAACTTAAGCCCGGGATATGGTCACGTGATACTGGTCAGTAGATACCTTGTTTCGACAGGTGTCAACTGACCATAACATGGATGTCCAACATCAAAGAGGGATGCTATAAACCAAGGCTGCATGTCTCTATCAACCCATTAGCTGGAGTATGGCCGCCATCTTGCGCGACTCTGCCGTAGTCGTCGTCGTGCGTTTGCACCCACGAGCAATANCCCTATCTATATTATAATTCATAATAATAATAATGAATTTAGTCATATAGCGCTGCTTCTTCAAAATCCAGCAGCGCTTGAGGTTTACAAAATATATAAATCAACTAGATACACATGGAAACTCCTTTTTGTTGCCTTTCCAAACTCTGAGCCAATCTCGAAGGACTGTTACCACACAAACGTCTGCAAGTATTGTTTTGGTGCTTTTATACTAAATCTCTCTGCTTGTCCAATTCATTTTCACTCAAGTGGTGGGTCACCAAGTTTGGTTTTAGTTACAATAAAAGCTTAATCTGGGTCAGGTAGTTCTATTTCTAGGGTATCCGCCCATTCGATCATATAGAGTTCTGGCATTCTTTGATACCATCATAATAAGTTATAATAACATTAACTATTAAAGAGAGGTAGTATCTATTGATGCATTGAAGTACATTGTTTTATTTGCTTTATTCATTCATTCATTCATTCATTCAGTCAGTCAGTCAGTCAGTCAGTCAGTCAGTCAGTCAGTCAGTCAGTCATTTATTTATTTATATCTTTATTTATTTATTTTTTTTTTGCCATTTATAAATGTATTTACAAAATATCAACGTATAAGGCAAGGAAGCCCAGGGAAGCCAATAAAGCTTATGTTAATGATTACCTTGAAGATAACTAATACTTACAAAAGAATGAAAATGCTGTTATCGGCATACAAAATGATCATAATTTAGAATAAAAAGTAGTGAAGCAAAGGAAGACAAAAGTAGAGGTGCTGGAAATAACTGAAAACTAAGTGTGGCCAGCCACCTTGAGGAACAGTATGAAAAAAAATGTATTTCATTAAGTAAAGCACAGAACTAACCTCATCATACTTATTTGTCAGGACCTGCCAAGATTTGCAGTGACGGCGTCATTTTTCCGTACATTAAGGTAGCGTTGAAAGTTGTTTTTGTGTTACTACAATAATTGGCTTCTCTAGATTGGCTCATTACACTTTTATGAGATAACTACTCTACATGTGGCAGACTTTTAAAGTAAGTAGAATGGGAAGGAAATACTGACTTTCCTCGTGTGTCATACTCCAGGTATCATACTGGCTCACTCGCCTTCGGATCACTGATCATTGCCATAGTACAGTTGATAAGGGCAGCTCTGGAATATCTCGATCACACCCTTAAAGGTACCGTTTGCTTTACAAGTTTCTATCAGCTTGGAAATTGTTTTGCTGGCTGTTTGACGTTTGTTTGGGTCTTAATGATGAGTTTGTTGTTGTTGTTGTTGTTGTTTTTCTAGGGCCCGGGGAGCAGAGTGAGATAAAAAAGTACCTTGTAAAGTACGTTGATAACTACCTGTATTCTGTCTCAGTTTCATTCGAGCATGATGTTTCACGCAAACAAGTGTGATGCAACCTTATACCACGAATTTCATTACATCTCAGTTCGTTAAGTTATATTACAATAGCCGTTTGAAAGCTGTCAAAAATAGGAAATGTCTTAGTCCAAATTATTTTTCAGGTGTCTCAAGTGCTGCTTCTGGTGTTTGGAGAAGTTTCTGAAGTTCCTCAACAAGAATGCTTACATCATGGTGAGTAAAATGTGATGTGATATTGTGGGATGTCAAAGCGTTTTCCCGTCTCCTATGATTGAAGAACCCACGATTTTCGTTAGAGGTTGCTTAGCAACACACGTGGCATTTCTTGATAACGCCATGCTGTCAGAACATCCTCCGCAAGGCTTGTGTAATTTTGTAACCATTGCTCGATTGTTTTGAATGTTTCACAAAAACACGGCATGCCATGACTCTGGCGCAAACCTTATTCGTGGTTGACAAATACCCATAAGGTTCAAATTTCTATGTTAATTTTCATCTGCTTACCGGGGAATTCTCATTTGATAGGCTCTTCTGGCTTCCAACAGGACTTCTTGCCTCTATTAATCAAATATAATTCTCCCTTTATTATAGTATTTAGTTAACTTGTAATGACGAAAATATCAATTCAGAGAATACCACATCATTTCTTTTTTGCTCGTACGGACATACGTGAGACAGCAGTTTTATTCAGTTAGGAAGTAACTGGTCAACTCATTTGATTCAGATTGCAGTGCACGGCAAGAACTTCTGTACCTCAGCCAAGAATGCTTTCTTCCTACTCATGAGGAATATTGTGAGGTGAGTTTAGATGGGAGGTGAGATTGTTCTCAAAGGAGCTACGTCACGGTTTGCGCGTATTGAAAAGTTTAACCTCAATTTTTCAAATTCGTCGTTTGTAATCCGTGTTAATCTCCTCCATCCTTAGCCATCCTTGTTCCTTTATGGTTTGTCATTATCTCTTTGGTGTTTTTCTATCTTATTAAACTGTTATTTTCAGGTTTCCTACCACTAGCTAAGAGGACGGAATTATCAGACAACTTTCAAATAAATTTCGAGTTCGTTACCTTGTTTGCGGAATGGATATTGGATTTTTAGAAAAGAGGAAAAATTTCAGATCGTATATTCACTGTCGAGTCCACGGTTAACAATTTCAAAATACACCACATGGAAATGTGGACTTTTATTTAATTCTCCCAAATATTGGCACTATAAAAATGCCAGTAGACGACGAGGAGGAGGAATTGAATGTTTACATCATTCCCAGGCATTTATTGTGTTTGCTCATTGGCTTTAATTTTCTTCCTTTTAAGGGTCGTTGTGTTGGATAAAGTGACAGACTTTGTTTTGTTTCTCGCCCAGTTGACCATCGTGGCTGGTTTGGGTGAGTTTTGTGATCGCTGCTGTGATTTCAGTGTAATTGCCGACTTTGGTGAAGCAAGTGAAGAGTCTTAAATTGAACTGCGGGAGAAAGATATACTAGATGAAAGATCTTCGCAGTTACGAACGCAACTTTGGCAGTTGCCGAAATAAAGTCTGAAAAAAATATAATAAGGCTTGAACCGGGTTCGAACAGATGACCTCTGCCATACCAATGCAGTGCTCTACCAATTAAAATATCTAGCCAACCAGGAGCTGGTCAATTTGTGAGTTTGTAATATAGCCAATAACGACTACCGTTTTTTTGCAAGTCTCAAACTTAATCCTAGGGTCTTCTAGAATATTGTGAAACTAGCTGTTACGAACCCCTGTTGTACACTTGACTCCCATCCCTTCACTCGTTCACCGATTAAATATCCCTGTTAGTTAATGTTGTGATTTATGGGACCTGCGAACACCATTTTAAAGTGGTATGCTAAAAAATCTGGCCAAGACAATCACGCATTAGGGTCACTGTTCCGCCTACCGGCTCTTCCCCCACTGCGTTCCCTGGGTAACTGCGTTAGTATTTATTCGGCTAGCGACTTCGTTGTATCATTATTTATCGGTTATCTGATCGTCTTTTTCCAGGTATTGGAAGCTTTTATTGGTTCGAGTGGAGACAAGATGGACAAGCACTCAATTACATCTTTGCTCCTGTCATAGTAAGTATTCCCCTAAACTGCTGTTCATCTTGTCTTGTAAGTAACAGGAATGCAGTGATCTTGGTGTATAACTCCCTCGTTACTGCTCTCCTTACAGATTCTGCTATTATATTATTCCTATTATGGCAGCTCTTTTAAAATGTTTCCAATGTATCCATTAAAAATGTGTCTATTTTTTTTTTTTTTTGCTAGATTATCGTTGTTGGTGCGTATGTTGTGACTTCAGCCTTCTTCAGCGTCTACAACATGGCCATCGATACGATCTTCCTTTCATTCTGTAAGTATATCATTGGTTTGGAGAGGAGGGGATGAGTAGGATAGGTTCATGTAGTGAATAGCGGCCAATAAGGGTACAGGAGGTCGCAGAGAAAAAACGGTGTGTGACGGACATCGGGAGAAGTTGGAAACACTCTTACAACATTGCTTAATAATTAAGATTTGCCTCAAAGAGGCGGGATCGCTAAGGAATGAGTTGTAACCGA